AGTAGATGTCACTGCGTTCTGTCAGGTGGCCTGGAGGGAGGAGGGAATAAGGAAAAGGGAAGGGGTGAGGGGTTATCCGCTTAACAGCAGCACCGCTCACAGCGAGACATGGGTCACTGCAGCCGTGAGGTCTTCGTATGAGGGGGAAAAGGGGGGTATGCAGGATCGGAGGACACTTCAAGTGGAATAACGCGTACTAATACCTCACTGAACCCATTTTTACCACACTGCACCCACCCATCTCCACCACAATGAACCGCGGTGAACCCCTCCTCACCTGTGTCGATGTACGAAGGGTCCAGGTAATCCAGGGTGCCGACGATGCGAGTCGAAACATGCGACTTGCCCACCCACCCACCATGCCACCAACCAACTCATGTTAATCCCCATTGGGCACCCATCTCCACCGCACTGAACCGCATTGAACCACTCTGAACCCCTCCGCACCTGTAGCGATGTATGCAGGGTCCAAGTACCCCAAGGTCCCCGTGACACGTGTTGATACGTGCCAATTGCCCAGCCCACCCACAGCCCCACAACACACTCTTGCTGTCCGCATTGGGCACCCATCTCCACCGCACTGAACCCCTCCTCACCTGTGTCGATGTATGAAGAATCCAAGTACCCCAAAGTCCCCGTGATGCATGTTGATACGTGCGACTCGCCCAACCCACCCACAGCCCCACTCATGCTATCCGCATTGGCCACCCATCTCAACCGCACTAAACCGCACTGCACTGCACCGAACTGCACATAACCGGGCCTCACCTGTGTCAATGTACGAAGGGTCCAAGTACCCCATTGTCCCCGTGATGCGAGTAGACACATGCGACTTGCCTGCCTTAGGCCCTGCTGTGGCCACTCCCTACCCCACAATCCATGTTCATCCACCTCAATCGCACTGAACAGCACTAAACCGCACTCAACCAATGTAAACCCCTCTGTACCTGTGTCAATGTACGAAGGGTCCAGGTACCCCATTGTTCCCATGATGCGCGTCAACACATGCGACTTGCCCACCCACTGCCGCACAGCATAACTCGAGTTTGTCCAGTTTGGCACCCATCTCCACCGCACTAAACCGCACCTCACCTGTGTCTATATACGCAGGGTCCAAGTACCCCATTGTCCCCATGATGCGCGTAGACACGTGCGACTTTCCCGCCTCGGGCCCTGCAGTTGCCATCCCGAAATCCGTCAGCTTTGCACGCATGTGCTGCGGAGTGGGGAGAAAGGATGAGAGAAAGGGAAAGATATCAGAATGCGAAGGAGCGTGCGACTTGCCCGCCTCGGGCCGTGCAGTTGCCATTCCGAAATCCGTCAGCTTCGCATTCATGTGCTGTGGAGGGGTGGGGGGGAGGGGAGGGAAAGGGGAGAGGAAAGGGAGAGGTGTATTCGACAACTGATGTCAGGATGAGAGGGCTTTTGAGGCGCCTCAAAAAGGGGGGGAGGGAAAGGGGAGAGGAAAGGGAGAGATGTATGCAACAACTGATGTCAAAATCTGTCAGATCTGTCAGATCCGTCAGATCCGTCAGATCCGTCAGATCCGTCAGATCCGTCAGAAAGGAAACGATGGACAACTGAGACGGAAAGATGTCAGAATGAGAGGGCGGGTGAGAGAGCAGGTTGCGACGGAGGGCAAGAGGGAGGTTGAGGTTGAGCTCATAGCAGGGTGAGCTTACAGCAGGGTGAGCTGAGCTCCTGCTGTGGCCATTCAAGAAATCATTGGCTGTGTGCCGTTGTTAGTTACCTCATCCTGCTGCCCACAGTACACCAGTGCAGATACACCCTGTACGCGTTATTACCACATCCAGCAGAATGTTGCTTGTCTTGAAGTCCCGGCGAATCACGTTCTGCCCGTGCAAATACACCCTATACGCGTTATTACCTCATCCAGTAAAATGTTGCACGTCTTGAAGTCCCTGTGAATCACGTTCTGCCCGTGCAGGTACTCCAGCCCTCTTGCCACGTCCACAGCTATGCGCACGCGCTGCTGCCACGTCAGCACAGGCGTGGCGGGATCAACGGCGCTGGCAGCAGCACCAGACACACCCCTAGCCGCTGCAGCAGCTGTAGCAGCAGCATCCCGTATAGCAGCATCATCTATAGCAGCAGCGTTATCTGTAGCAGCCTCACTCATACCCCCCCAACTCCGCTTCCTCTCCTCCTCCTCCCCCTCCTGCTGCTCCTCCTGCTGACGTGGATACAGCCACGTGTGCAGATTCCCCCTCTCTATAAGCTCATACACCAGCAATGCGGCAGCACCCCCCGGGGCCGATTCAAGTCCACACAGTACCCTAGCAGCCGCACCAGATTAGGGTGGTGTAAACTCCCAAGCATTATAATCTCTGACATACACTCATCTACGGCCTTGAAACTGCCGCTGTGTAGCACCTTCACTGCCACGTCACGCTGACGTGGCATCCCACCTCCACCACCACCACCACCTGAAGCACCACCACCCGCTCTTCCTGCTCTTCCTGCTCTCCCTGCTCTTTCTTCCTCGTTCCTCTGCGCTTTCCCTCCTCCTCCTCTCTCCTCCCCTGGAACCTTCCTGTCATCTTCCTCGCCGAGCCACTCCTCCACCGAGCCTCGGTACACCGTGCCGAAGCTGCCGCGGCCCAGGATCTGGCTCGGGCCGAACCACTGCGTGGCCTGCTGTAGCTCGCGGTAGGTGAACCGGCGGAGTGGTAGCGTGGACCAGGTCTCGTCTGTTGTTGTGAATCGGCTGCCTGTCACTGGCAGGTGGAAAGGAGGGGAAGAGGGGCAGGAGGGGAAGAGGGGCAGGAGGGGAAGAGGGGCAGGAGGGGAAGAGGGGCAGGAGGGGAAGAGGGGCAGGAGGGGAAGAGGGGCAGGAGGGGAAGAGGGGCAGGAGGGGAAGAGGGGCAGGAGGGGAAGAGGGGCAGGAGGGGAAGAGGGGCAGGAGGGGAAGAGGGGCAGGAGGGGAAGAGGGGCAGGAGGGGAAGAGGGGCAGGAGGGGAAGAGGGGCAGGAGGGGAAGAGGGGCAGGAGGGGAAGAGGGGCAGGAGGGGAAGGACACAGGAAGAGAGGCAGTCTCGTCCTTTTGAGAATCGGCCACTTGCCTTGAACTTTTGAAAATGCTCAAGAGCCAGATCGGCGGAGTGGTAATGCGGACCCAGGTCTTCGTCCTTTTGAGAATTCTCAAAAAAACATTACTCCCGTTGAGAGGGGCACTGGTAGTGCCCCTCATCCGTGGTTGTGAATCGGCTAGTGCCGGACACTGGTAGGAGGGGACGACGTGGGGAGAGGAAGGTAGGGAGGCAGGAGGGGAGGCAGGAGGGGAGGCAGGAGGGGAGGCAGGAGGGTAGGCAGGAGGGAGCAGGAGGGGAGCAGGCGGGGAGGCAGGAGGGAGGCAGGAGGGGAGGCAGGAGCAGTGAGGGGGGCAGGAGGGGAGGCAGGAGGGGAGCAGGAGGGCAGGAGGCAGGGGGAGGCAGGAGGGGAGGCAGGAGGGAGGCAGGAGGAGGCAGGAGGGGGAAGCGAAGAGAAGGCAGGAGGAGGAGGGAGGCAGGAGGGGAGGCAGGAGGGGAGGCAGGAGGTGGATGCAGGAGGGGAGGCCGGGAGGGGAGGGCAGGAGGGAGGCAGGGATGAGGAGGAGGAGGTGGAGCAGGATGGGAGGGCCGGAGAGGAGGTATAGGCAGGATGGGAGGCAGGTAGGGTAGGCAGGAGGGGAGGCAGTGAGGTTAAGGCAGGAGGGGGAGGCTGGAGGGATTGGTCCTTGAGAGAATCTCAGAAACTACTAGCTTGGTGGAGTGCTGCTGACGCTGGTCCAGGTCTCATCCGATGTTGTGAATCGACTAGTGCCTGGACACTGGCAGGGAGGGAAGACATGGGAAGAGAGGCAGAGAGAGAATCGTGCAGGAGATTAAGAGGAGCCACCGCGTGGCCTGCTAGGAGGTGGAGGTGAGGTCACTTTGAGGAGCGCGAGGCTGCACGCGATGGAGTGGGAGGCAGCCAAGCCATGTAAGTGGGAACCACGGCCGTGAGCGGTGCACGTGGCAGCACGCGCCAGCACCCACCTGAGGAGGCGCGGCTGCAGGCGATGGAGTGGACGGCAGCCAAGAAGTACAAGGGGAAGGGGAGAAGGGGAAGGGGAAGGGGAAGGGGAAGGGGAAGGGGAAGGGGAAGGGGAAGGGGAAGGGGAAGGGGAAGGGGAAGGGGAAGGGGAACCGACCACGACTTTGGTCGGCGCTGGCGAGGAGATGAAGAAGAAGGTCTATACTGAGAGCAAGAGAAATGAAGAATACTGCGAACAAGAGCAAGAGAAGAAGAAGAAGAAGCGCAAGTGGCAGCACGGACCTGAGGAGGCGAAGCTGCAGGCGATGGATTGGACGGCTGCGAAAACCGTGCAAGTGGAAGTGGAACCACGATCGTGGTTGGCGGCGCTGGGGCATCAGCGACATGCTTCGCGGACCGCGGCCTTTATTCAGCCTGCTCTCGCAGCAGCCCATGATGGCTTAGCGGTGGCGGCGGACGAAGCGAAAACCTTTTTTTTTTTCTAGGGCGCCTAATAAAAACAGCAGCCCATGATGGCTTAGCGGTGGCGGCGGACGAAGCGGAAACCTCCTTTTTTTTTTGTTTTTTTTTTTTGTTTTTTTTTTTTTTAGGGCGCCTAATAAAAACAGCAGCCCATGGTGGCGTCCAACATAATCAACCCATGGCGGTGTTTAAAAAGACTACCGGGGTGGCGGACTGCACCCAGAAGTTGCTTCTGAGTCGACTCAAATGTCGGTGCCACGTCTAACCATGGCGCCCAAGTGCCGTCTCCTCAGCCTATGGCTGGCTGCCAGCGGCGGGCCTCGAGTTGAGCGGTGCAGAGGGTCACTTTTTGACGCTAACCTACTAGTCGCTAGCACATAGGAGTTGGACAGATACCTCTAATCGTCGCGCGCCAAATCACTAATTTCCAAGGCGCTGTGAAAATGTCCATTCAAGTGCCTTTGATTAGCGGTTGTTCGAAGTTCTTTTAGAAAGCTGGCGAGAAACATACCGTGTCCCTTTTTACTAGAACTAGTACGCGACGCCAGTGGACGCGTCCTAAAATGGTGGGACTGATTAAAGTGGTGCAATATGGTGCACGACGTGCGCGAGAGATAAGCTGAGCAGTTTCAGTAATTAATAGGCTGCAGCAAAAAAATCGAGTGGCTTCACAGCAGTGGGAGATATGAAAGCCGTCCTTCCCAGGCATCCAAAGCAACCATGAGTGTGTCTAGTAGAATCATTCACATGCAAAGCAGTTTTGTGGGTTGCATTACGGTTCAGAATGGAAAAACGCCGAAAATCGTTGTTGAATGCTTGGAAAACGCACTGAACCGCACTAGAGATTTGTTTTTGTGGAAAACCATAGGCTACACGGAGGAGCAGCAAACCTTGCTGCAGCGTCTCGGCAATCAGGACGACGACTTTCCACCGTACGATAAGTGAGTATCTGCCGTTCGATTATCAATGCTGACAAGGCATCGCGCCGCCTGAGGCTGGTTTCGTCTGCAGTAACGTTACGTTACGTTTGTCGCTGTTGCAGTTTCGCAACAGCCGCGTGCTTTACCTGCTTCAAACGAGACGCTTCCACGTGGCTGCCAAAAGGGATGTCCTGCTTTAACTCTCGATACGGAGATACTTCGATTCTGTACTTAAAATAGTATGAATTGAGTTATACAATTATCTGGACCGCGAGTGCCGTGTTTTCCTTGTGTTACCTCAAAATAGCGCTCGGCAGCTGGTCAGCAGCAGGTCTGACACAATTGCAAGTAACCAATGAATCGTCGCATCCTGGTGGACCAGGCCAGAAACAAACCTGCAACTTCTGAACCAAAGCACACAATTTGGCGGGAAACACCCTCGAACCGAGCTGTATAAAGCCAAGCCTCACTGTTTTCGCTGAAAGCAAATCACAGAGCGACACATGACTTCCCGCCCCAGCGAAAATTTGGCCTGGCGAATCTGGAAGTCTTGGTGATGATGCTGAACATGGAGCTCCAAAATGTTTCGGCCAACTTCATACATACTCAGATTAGTCCCGAGCGGGCTCTCAGGTGTAATCAGCCTGGACTTTCTCGACGTTGATTGGTCGTCGCTTTTTAGTCATACTGTTTACGCTGGTCGAAATGTTTGGGAGGTGACAAAAAGAGGACTATCTAGTTTACCCTCCCGACTTGGATTTGTTAAACTAAAGTACGTAAATTTATGACAGGGCAGAAAAATAAACCCCTATAGAATCTGGAAGCATTTGCGGGAGGGATCAACCCTAAACCACGGTAAAGGGCATTGTTTTTAGGGTCGATGCCTCCCGAGTCGCATCCCTTCTCGATTGGGTTTTATTTTTTTTGGTCAAGAGGGTGCAATATATTTTTTCCTGAAGTGGGCGGCTTCCCGTAGTTGAGGTTGATCTGTCTTGAAATTCATCTAGGTTCGCTACAAGTTTTTTTTTCAGGTGTTGCATTTTCTGTCGTGACTGTATCCAGAGAATAACAAGAAAACACTTACTACTATATCGCGAAACTGTGTTTCTGTTGGAGATTACACCTGAGAATCCGCTCGGTAATACTTTGAGTATCTATGATATTGGCCGAAAACGTTTTGATGATGATTTTCGATGTGCGGGTGGTGTTGCACATTTCGATTTCAAAAACCACGGTTCGGTATGGTTTGTTTTGGTCGTAAGCGTTGAAGTACAGAAATCGCTGTCTATCGTGTGGTATCATACGGTAACGCGCTTCTCCATCATCAAACAAACCTGCCACCAGGCTTTCCTGACATAGTTTGCTAGTCAAGCGATCTGCTACCAGCAATGGCTCCAATGTGTGCTTCGGTTGAAGGGATGGAGATTTCGAAGATTGCATAACCACGCCGACCCATCACCAAACCGGAGTTAGCTTCCGTGGTTCTCGATTTTTCAACTCATTCTGCACGTAAGACTTCGAATGCTGGCAGATGTGACTCGCGAGAGAACTATAACAATCATACAGACAGTAGTGGCGACCTCAGTTATACGCTAGTTTATGTAGATGAGGAACGTTTCAGCAACAGAATGACGAAAGCTGGAGATCCGTCTGCCATGGCGGACCATCGAGCAGAAAGGCATGGAATTGCCGAACCGTCAGCCACGCCGCGATCGTCATCGATTGGTGGTAGTTTCGGTTCATCAATCCCAAGTCCTGTAGTTAAACAACGGTTACTATTCCAGTCACCACAAGGAGCATCGGAAGTCCTTATAGCGAAGGAAAAACGGTCCAGGTAAGGAGGGAGGCTCTGGTATTCCAGTGTCACCCAGGCCTGGCCTCAAACCTCCAGGAACGGTCACTAGTCTCCGAACCTCGTGGACACCTTCGTCGCGCCTTCCGTCGAACCTGCCGCGTAGGTCAGGCTCGGGTCAAGGCTCGGAGGACGCAGGGGAGCTGAGCCGGACCAGCTCAGCAAGCTCGGATGCCGGAAGCAGGTTCGGGACGGAAACTCCGGGCAGGAGTAGCGCGAGTGACGCCGCGAGTGCTAGTAGAATCCATTACAATGGTGGAGGGAAGGCGACTGGAGTCCTGCGTCCGAGTAATCATGGTACGTTACACCCGTTAAGGTGTAGTTCATTACCTTGAAGAAAAAATATTATATGTTATGTAACTGCGGCGTCCGCAGTATACCTGTTTCATAACTGTAGATATTACAAGCGGCGCTTTTTTAAGTCTGTCTCCTCAGTCTGTTTCCCTTTTTAAGATCCCCGTCATCCTTTTTCGTCAACTCTGTAAATTTCGTAACACCCGTTTCGCACGGATGCTTTTCCTCGCTGTCCCCGGTAACAGCTGGCGAGCAGGCGGCCTCGTTAGCTGCTGACGTCAAGCCGGAAAGGAGATCGCACCCTGGGCAGGAGCAACGGCAGCGTCAGCAGGATTCGATGCACCAGCAGCATGAGCAGCAGCATGAGCAGCAGCATCTGCAGCAGGCGCATCAGGCTGGTGGTAGGTTCGGCTTCAAATCCCCCTCATTGCAAAACCATCGGCAGCACGAATCGCAGCCAACGTCGCCGCTGCTGGCGGCGCAGCAGCCGCGAGGTCACATTCAGCCGGAAGAACGCGTAACTGGAAGCTTCTCCGCAGTTCCGGACGGGTCGGACCGGAGGCTCAGCTTCGGAAGGGTGGAGTCGCAGCTTCGGGTGAAAGAGATGAGAGGCTTGGAGAGGAAAGGTTCGGAAAGGAGAGCCGTTGGGGGAGGTCGGGAGGGGGTTACGCGCGCGGGGGACGGGGAGGAAGCGGCGGAGGAGGAGAGGCGGAGGGAGATTGAGAGGGAGAGAAAGAGGGAGATAGAGAGGGCGATAGAGAGGGAGATGGAGGTTGCGCGAGAGTGGGAGGAGAAGGAGAGGGCGGAGAGGAAGAGAGGGAGGAGAGGGAGAGGTTGCTGAAGGAAGAAAGGGAGAAAGAGAGGAAGGAGAAGGAGAGAAGAGTTCAGGAAGAGAAGGCAAGGCGTGAACGAGAAGAGAAAGAGAGGGTTGAGAGGGAGAGAGCAGAGAGGGAACGGAAGGAGAGGGAGAAGGCTGAACGGGAAAAGATGGAGAAGGAACGGAAGGAGAGGGAGAGGAGGGAAAGGGAGAGGTTTGAGAGGGAGAGGGTGGAGAGGGAGGAAAGGGAACAGCGGGAGAGAATGGAGCGAGAGTTGGAGGAGCGGAGGGAGAAGGAGAGGCAAGAGGAGCTGGCGAAAGTGAGACAGAGGGAGCGAGAGCGGTTGAGAGAGATTGAGCTGCAGATGGAGCGACAGAGGCATGTGCGAATCGCAGAAGAACGGCAGAGGGAGAAGGAGAGGGCTGAGGAGCGAGAGAACGAGCGGCGGAGAATGGAAGAGGGGGAGAAGGAGCGGGAGAGGGAGAGGGAGAAGGAGAGGGAGAGGGTGAGAGTGGAGCAGAGGCAGAGAGAGGAGGAGCGGCGGGTGAGGCAGCAGAAAGAAGTCCAGAGGCGAAAGGAGAGGCGCGGAGATGAGCTATCAGGGAAGGCCATGGGGGATCCTCTTCGTGTGATCGCCTGGGTTGCGGGAGCAGGAGTGTCGTCTGCTGCTTTCGGCGAGCCATCCAGCTCGTTTGGAGCACCTTATCAGGTATAAGTTGTGGAATTTTGTTAAGCGGCCATGGGGGGGGGGGGTATCCTCTTCGTGTGATCGCCTGGGTTGCGGGAGCAGGAGTGTCGTCTGCTGCTTTCAGCGAGCCTTCTGGCTCGTTTGGTACGCCATATAAGGTAAAACTGAAAGAGGAGCTGAGATTTCCTTAAAATTGCAGCCAAAGGAGACAAGTGCACACATGCCCTTTGCGTTGCGCTCGTAGGTTGGTTCGGCGTGCCATATTGAGTGTTTTTGTTGCCGTGATTGTTCCTAATGATGCGATTGGAGGTTGATGGTGATTGGTTGATCATCGTATTGTGCATGTATTAGGTGTGTCTATGTATGTCCAACTCGTGTTTGTTCTTTCCCTGGGCTTCGGATCATTCTCAGATTGTACGTGATTTAATCACGTGTTCGTATGTGTGTCCACTTCGTGTTTTCTCTTTTCCAGGCGTCTCCGGATCATTCTCAGGTGCTGCAGCAGTGGGTGCAGAGAGCAACCCACTTCCACAGCAGGCTGGGATCTGACGTGGCTCCAGCTGACGTGGCACCAGCGTCAGCTGTAGCGGACTTTTTGGCAGGGTGTTAGGGCAGCAGTGGAGGCGGCAGAGGATGTGGCTATAGCGGGGGATGAGGAGCAGCAGGAGGGCGTGGCTGTGACTGTAGGCGCGTGTGACTTAGCTGCAGTGCGACAGCTGCAGGGGAATGCGAGGAAGCGAGGTAAGATGCCACTAGCAAACCATCCACCCCACCTACCAACCACCCTTCCCTTAGCCTTTTCTCCTCAACCCCACCTGGGTGCTATTTTGTCCTTTATGTTCACATTCCCCCAATCTCTCATTCCCCCAATCTCTCATTCCCCCAATCTCTCATTCCCCCAATCTCTCATTCCCCCAATCTCACATTCCCCCAATCTCTCATTCCCCCAATCTCTCATTCCCCCAATCTCTCATTCCCCCAATCTCTCATTCCCCCAATCTCTCATTCCCCCAATCTCTCATTCCCCAATCTCTCATTCTCCCAATCTCTCATTCCCCCAATCTCTCATTCCCCCAATCTCTCATTCCCCCAATCTCTCATTCCCCCAATCTCTCATTCCCCCAATCTCTCATTCCCCCAATCTCTCATTCCCCCAATTTCCTATTCCCCCAATCTCTCATTCCCCCAATATCTCATTCCCCCAATCTCTCATTCCCCCAATCTCTCATTCCCCCAATCTCTCATTCCCCCAATCTCTCATTCCCCCAATCTCTCATTCCCCCAATTTCTCATTCCCCCAATCTCTCATTCCCCCAATCTCTCATTCCCCCAATCTCTCATTCCCCCAATCTCTCAGTCTCCCAATTTCTCCTTCACCCCCCTCTCCATCCCCCAGTGGCAGCAGCAGAGGCGATGGCGCAGCAGGTGGGGGCATTCGAGTCCACGTGTGGGGCAGCTGGACGGGGAAGCGAGGAGGCACTTGTGATTCCCAGAACCTCATTCTCTCCTCTCTTATCCACAACCCCCCCCCCCTCATCCTGCAGTGGCAGCAGCAGAGGCGATGGCGCAGCAGGTGGGGGCGTTTGAATCCACGTGTGGGGCAGCAGGGCGGGGAAGCGAGGAGGTGGTTAGGGTGGCCATTCAACAGCTGATGGAGTGAGTATGAGTGCTGCTGCTGCTGCTGCTTCTGCTGCTGCACTGCTGCTGCTTTCCCCCTCCCACTCCTTTCCCCCCTCCCATTCCATTGCCCCCTCCCATTCCCTTTCCCCCTCCCACTCCCTTCCTCCTCTCACTCCCTTTCCCCCCTCCCATTCCCTTGCCCCCTCCCATTCCCTTTCCCCCTCCCACTCCCTTTCCTCCTCTCACTCCCTTTCCCCCTCCCATTCCCTTTCCCCTTCCCACTCCCTTTCGGCCTCTCACTCCCTTTCCCCCTCCCACTTCCTTTCCCCTCTCTCACTCCCTTTCCCCTTCCCATTCCCTTTCCCCCTCCCACTCCCTTTCCGCCTCTCACTCCCTTTCCCCCTCCCACTTCCTTTCCCCCCTCTCACTCCCATTCCCCCTCCCACTTCCTTTCCCCCCTCTCACTCCCATTCCCCCTCCCATTCCCTTTCCCCCTCCTAATTCCTTTCCGCCTCCCACACCCTTTCCCCCTCCCACTCCCTTTCCCCCCTCCCACTTCCTTTCCGCCCCCCACTCCCTTTTCCCCTCAAACTCCCTTTCCCCCTCCCACTCCCTTTCCCCCCTCTCACTCCCTTTTCCCCTCCCACTCCCTTTCCCCCTCTCACTCACTTGCCCCCTCCCTCCTGCAGGGTCGTCGCCAATCAAGGCCTCACACTCCATAGGCTTTCCGCTACAGCTGCTACAGCTGCTCCCGCTGCTACAGCCCCTACAGCCGCTACAGCCACTACAGCCGCTACAGGCGGGGAGGAGGAGCAATGGGAAGATCCCTTGGTGTTGGCCGTGGGAGGGGTGGTGGGAGCAGCGGCTGCGGCACTTAAGAGCTGGCTAAGTGTCGTTGTGGAGGGGAGGAAGGGGAGGAAGGGAGGAGTGGGAGGAGGTGGAGGTGCGGGGAAGGTGGCAACTGGTGCAGGTGCATCTGGTGGGCATGTACTGTTGCAGCCGCCCAAGGCTGCTCTAGCTGTAAGTATTTGGTTTTGTGAGATTTTGCCTTTTTTCTCTCTTTGTGTGAGTCCTGGCCTCTCTGTCTGCTTGAGACGGTGTCTGTGTGAGACGGTGTCTGTGTGAGACGGTGTCTGTGTGAGACGGTGTCTGTGTGAGACGGTGTCTGTGTGAGTACCTGCATTTGAGGTGCCTCATAAGCTTGTTACCATGCCAAGCCATCTCACTTTCACATCACACCCATTTCTCTGTACCCCTTATAAACACATGTCGAGTCGACCTCTTCCATTCCCTCTCTTCCGATCCCACTGCTTCTCTGCAACTCCCCCTTGATGATTTCCCAGGATTTAAGGGAGGCTCGTGATGTGCTGGACGTTGTGGCGGCATGAGCTGGCACGGCTGCACTCGCGCCTAGTCAGCGTCGTCTGCCGCTCCCAGCTGATGTCAGCATGCGGCCGCATGACCTGGCAGCCAGCATCGCCAGCTCAGCTCCCGGGCCAGGACCACACGATGGCCCCTGCTGACGTGGCAATGGCGTCTGCTTGCGCTTTCCTGGACCAAGCGATAGACATTCGGCAGCAGGTGAGATTTTTCAGGCGGCAGGTTAGATTCTCTGGCCGGCAGGGTAGATTCTCCAAGTGTCTGGGAGGTGATACTGAAAGAGTTGGCTTGTGCCTATCGCCATTATCAGTTTCTTTTTGTCCTCTTTTCCATCCCTGCAGCATGAGGGGTGGGAGGAGGCGATGACAGCAGCTGCTCTGGTGTGCGACCTGGAAGCTTCCTCAGGCATCAGCAACACCGGTGGTGCTGACGTGGACAGGTGGAGGCGCTTCCTGGAGCCACTCACAGACAGCCACGTGGCAGACATTCTCGAAGGTGCGGAACATACGCAGGGGTTTACTGCTGATAGCCTGTGGAAACCTCTTCTGGTGTGGCTCCCTCCTCCCTCCCTCGTCCGATCCCTCTCAACACCTTCCAACCGCTTCCCCCACCCTCCCCTCCCCCTCTCTCCCCGCTCACACACAGGCGACCTTGCCAGCTGGCGGGCGGTGCAGGGCATCTACTGGGCGGCAGTGGCCCGGGAGGAGGAGGCACTGGCGGGGCTGCTGCAGGCGCGACTGGGGGAGGTGCCATCCGCCATGGGGCGGCTGCAGCTGCTGGCGCAGTGCTCGTCCTTTACTGCGCTGCCGCGGGTATGATTTCAGTAGGCTTGTGTTGTGTGTGGGTCTTGAGCCGACTCAATTGACTGTTCACTCCACTAGGAACGCTCTTACTTGTCCAAAGAGGGTTGTTTTGTTCACTTCAACCTTCAAGGATGGTTGCTCTCAGTTGTTCATACAGTCGTCCCACTTTTTCCCTTGCTGCTCCTCTGCCTTCCCTCCCTCTCCGTCCTCCACCCTCCTCCCCACCACCACGGCAGGTGTCAGCACGCCTGCAGCACGACTTGCAGCAAATGCTGCACGAGGTGGCAGCAGGTGAGAGGGGCGTATGACGCTTTTGAATGCCACCAGTCGAGGTGTATGGTAGTTGCAAGGCAGATGTTGCACGATAGCTGCTGCTTTCTGAAAGAATGGTGGGAGAGGTGTCTGCAACCCTTATGAGGTGTGTGCAACCCTTATGAGGTGTGTGCAACCCTTATGAGGTGTGTGCAACCCTTATGAGGTGTGTGCAACCCTTATGAGGTGTGTGCAACCCTTATGAGGTGTGTGCAACCCTTATGAGGTGTGTGCAACCCTTATGAGGTGTGTGCAACCCTTATGAGGTGTGTGCAACCCTTATGAGTGTGTGCAACCCTTATGAGGTGTGTGCAACCCTTATGAGGTGTGTGCAACCCTTATGAGGTGTGTGCAACCCTTATGAGGTGTGTGCAACCCTTTTGAGAGTTCCCAAAAAGCACATTGTGTCTGCAACCTTTTGAATGTGCTGCTTCCCTGTGCCCTTACCACCCTTCCACCGCCCCCCTTCCGTTTCTTCCTTCCTCCCCCATTTATTTCCCATCCCCTTTCCCCCTCTGCTCTCCCGTCTCCATTCCCCAACTCCTTCACCTTTCCTTCCCATTCCCCAACTCCTTCACCTTACCTTCCCATTCCCCATCTTCCGTTTCCTCTCCGCCTCCCCATTCCCCCTCCCCCACTCTCCTTCCCATCCGCCCTCCCCATTCCCCTTCCCCATCCCCTTTCCCATCTCCCCTCCCCCTCCCCATCCCCCACCCCCCTCCCCACTCCCCGTCTCCCCTTCGCCAGACGTGCGAGCACTGGAGGAGCAGCTATGGCACCCAACCGCAGCCTGCCACGTGTCCTCTCTTGCCCAGCTCAGGGGCGTGCCACGTGTTGCCGCCTCAGTGGCCCGCGCCAAAGCCATTCACGGGAAGCTGAGGGCGCTAGACGCGGCCCTGCACGCTCTGCTGGGTGACAGCTGGCGCAGCGGGATTGGTCGGGCGGGGAGGGGAGGGAGCAGGAGGGGAAGAGGCGCGGGGGGAGCGGTGGGGATGGGTGGAGATGGGGAGGGAGGGGTTGAGTGTGGTGGGGCGGGGTGGGGAGCGGTGACGGACGGTGGGCTGCGGAGGTCGATTGCTCGGCTGCTGGAGGAGGCGTTGCAGCAAACGGACCCTCAGAAAGTGCGTGTTTGTGTGTGAAGAGATAACTCCCGCTACTGGCAACACCAACCATGTGCAGAAGCATGAGTGCGGAGGAGGCAGAGGAGGCCCTCAGAGGCCCTGTGCTTGCCCCCTGCTCGTCCCGCCCGCTACTAACGAGTGTCTCCCTCTCTTTTCTCCCATCCACCCATCCACTCTCCCTTCCAGACTGTCAACCCGTGGCTGCAAGAAAAGCTCGCTCCCACCACCACCACCAGCAACAACAGCAGCATGAGTGCGGAGGAGGTAGAGGAGGCCCTACGAGGCCCTGTGCTCGCCCCCTGCTCGTCCCGCCCTAACAAATCTTTCCCTCTCTCCCCTGAATCCATCCACTCTCCCTTCCAGACCGTCAATCAGTCGCTTCAAGAAAAGCTCGCTCCCCACACTGGCAGCACCAACAGCAGCAGTAGCATGAGCGCGGAGGAAGCAGAGGAGGCTGTGAGAGGCCCTGTGCTCGCCCCCTGCTCGTCCCTCCCGCCCCTAACAACTGTCTCCCTCTCCTCCCCATCTACCCATTCATCTTCATCCACTCTCCCTTCCAGACCGTCAATCAGTGGCTGCAAGAAAAGCTCGCTCCCTGCTCGTCCCCCTGCTCGTCTCCCTGCTCGTCCCCCTTACAAGTGACTCTCTCTCTCCCCCTTCGTCCATCCCTCCACTCTCCCTTCAGACCGTCAACCAGTGGCTGCAAGAAAAGCTCGCTCCCCACACTGGCAGCACCAGCAGCAGCAGCATGAGCGCGGAGGAAGCAGAGGAGGCTCTCAGAGGCCCTGTGCTCACCTCCTGCTCGTCCCGCCCGCCCCTGGCTGACGTCAGCAACAGCAGCGCGGCTACAGCCGGGGAGGAGGAGCAGGCGGAGCCGCTGCTACAGCTGCAGGTGAGGGGGAGAGACAATGAGGGGTGGAAGGTTAGGGGAGGAAGGTTAGGGGTGGGACACTGGCAGGTGAGGGGTGGAAGGTTAGGGGTGGGACACTGGCAGGTGAGGGATGGAAGGTTAGGGGTGGGACACTGGCAGGACGGGGAGATGAGGCACAGACGACTTGTGTATGGGGAGGAGGAGCAGGCGGAGCCGCTGCTACAGCTGCAGGTGAGGGGTGGAAGGTTAGGGGTGGGACACTGGCAGGTGAGGGGTGGAAGATTAGGGGTGGGACACTGGCAGGACGGGGAGATGAGGCACACGCCCTCCTGCCCCTCTGCCCCTTACTGACCCCCTGCCCTCTGCCCCTTGCCCCTCTGCCCTGCCTGTGTGCTCCCTATGAAACCATAATCCATGCCCCATCTCCCCCCTCCAGGTGCAGTACAAGGCGAGGCTTCTCCATCTGAGTGACGAAGTTCGCTCTCTAAGAGCATCAGGCTTCCACACCCCGCACCACCTGCTCGCCTGCGCCTTCTCCGCCTCTGCTGCCGCCTCCTCCGCATCCACCATCTCCCCTCCTGCCCCTCTGCCCCTCCCTGAACCCCTGCCCTCTGCACCTTGCCCCTCTGCCCTGCCTGTCTGCTCCCTATGCCACATCTCCCCCCACCAGGTGCAGTACAAGACAAGCCTGCTGCATCTGAGCGAGGAGGTCCGCACCCTTCGGGCATTAGGCTTCCACATCCCGCACCACCTGCTCGCCTGCGCCCTCTCCGCCTCTGCTGCCGCCTCCTCCGCATCCACCATCTCACGAGCGCTCGAGAGCTTTGCTGATGTCAGCGCTGGCGTCAGCAAGGGCGTGCTGCCGCTGGTGGTGGCTTCGCGAGAAGCGGTGCTGGGGTTAATGCAGAGCGGTGAGTCGGCACGCGGGTAAGGAAGCAATGGTGGGGGTACTGCACTCTAGTGAGTGGGTGATGCAGTCCGGAAGCAAAAGCGTGCTGCCGCTGGTGGCGACGACAAGGAAAGCGATGCTGGGGATAATGCAGAGCGGTGAGACTTGATTGTACAGCAGTAAGGGGGGGTTGGGGATAATGCAGAGCGGTGAGTCATTGCTGCGGAGTGGTAAGGGTGGATTGGGGATCATGCAGCAAGGGGTGGCTGGGGATAATGCAGAGTGGTAAGTGGTGGTTGGGGATAGTACAAAGCGGCGAGTCATAATTTAAAGGTGTGGGTAGGGAAGAGGGACGGTGGAAGATATATTTAGTCCCTCTGGTGAGGAAGAAAGAAGAATAGAGAATGGGTTGAGGAGGAAGAGGAGGACGAGCTTGCAGTGTGCCTGTGGGGTGCTGTCGTGCCGAGGAGGGAACTGGGTGTGTGTTTGAGTCAGCCACCCATCTCAACCACTCCGTTGTCCCCTGACTTCCCCTCATGTTCCCCCTTGCTTTCCCCGATTTCACCTCACCATTGGCCACCGTTGCAGGTCAGGGAGTGGTGTGGGAGGAGGAGGGAGCAGGACGAGTTGGCGGTGTGCCTGTGGGTTGCCGTGGGGTGGGGGGAAGCTTGGCGTATGAGTCTCCCCTTCCACTCCAATGTCTATTGCGGGATAAGAGACGACTTTTGACGTGCCTCAAATGCCGTGGGGGGAACTTGGCGCATGAGTCTCCCCTTCCACTCCATCGTCTCCTGACTTCCCCTCATGTTACCCTTGGTTCCCCTACTGCCCGCACTGCAGGCCAGGGCGTTGTGTGGGAGGAGGAGGACGAGTTGCAGTGTGCCTGTGGGATGCAGAGGAGGGAACTTGGTGTTTGAGCCTGTTACCCATCTCAACCACTCCTTTGTCCTCTGGCTTCCCTTCATGGTCCCCCTTGCTTCTCCCAATTTCCCCCCCCCTGCAGGTGGAAGTGTGGTGTGGGAGGAGGAGGACGAGGTGGATGAGTTCGCCGTGTGCCTGTGGGATGCAGTGGAGGCGTTTTCATCTGCAGCTGCTGCGGCCAAGGAGAGGCATGAGGCGGCATGGCAGTGCCTTGAGCAGATTCGTTCGTGTGCCTATAAGGTGAGTGTGTGTGCCGGTGGTTGGATTGGAGGGTGTTTGCTTGTAAGGCGTGTGCCTGTGGGATGCTGTGGAGGCGTTTTCAGCCGCTGCTGCTGCCGGCAAGGACAGGCACGAGGCGGCATAGCAGTGCCTTAAGCGTGTCCGATCGTGTGCTGGTGGGAGCTTACAGCAGCTAAGTCTATAAGGTGAGAGCCTCTAAGCCCGCTCTGCCACTGCTGCTGCTAAGGTCAAGGAGAGGCATGACGCTGCATGGCATTGCCGAAACCATGAGCTTGCTCTAAAGAGTTTTGTCTAATAGCACAAAGCGTCTAACCTTAATGTTTTCTCCGTCCTCTTTTTTTTCCTCCATCCCCTCTCACCGAATCAGGACCTGCCAACTCATCTCCGCCAGCTGGCGCACGCGGTAATTGCAGCGATCTCCCGGCCGCCTTACCCGGCTGCCATGTCAGCTGCCACGTCAGCAGTGTGGCAGCATGAGGTGGCTGCCACGTGGGCCGCCCCGCTGCTGATGCAAGCACAGGCGGCTCTGCAGCAGAAGCTGACGTCAGCGCTCTGCTGCTGGCTGAAGAAATGGAAGGACCTGATTGGAGGAGACTCTCCTGCTGCTACAGCTGCTGCTACAGCCGCCACGGGTGCCAAATCTGCTACAGCTTCTGCTGCTGCTGCTGCGGCGGCAGCGGCTGCTAGGGTTAATGAGGTCTCTAAGGGATCCCCTGAGCGTGTAGGGGGTCTGCAGGTGGTGGTGAGAGAGATTGAGGCTGTGCTTTCACTGCACGGGCCCTCTGGTGTAGTGAAGGAACGAGCTGGTGGAGGAGCCGACGCAGCAGGGGCGGCAGGAGCGGCAGGGGCGGCAGGAGTAGTGGGAGGAGATTTGAATGGCGGGGATGGGAGCGAGACTGAGTCGTTTGTGCTGCAGCTTCTGCAGGAGCAGATGGGGATGCTGACGCACCGAGTGGCTGTGAGGGGGTCAAACGCAGGGGCGGTTAGAGTGGAAGGAGGAGGAGCGAGTGGCAGGATGGAGGTGGAGGTACAGCCTCCTCTCTGCGAGTCTCAGCAGCGGCTCCAGGACTGTGTTCAGCTGTTGCTCGCTCCCGCTCTCTCTGCTGCTGCAGAGGCCAATAGCGTCCTCTCCTCCGCCTCTGCGGCTTTCTTGCTCCCTCCCACTCCCTCGAATGGTCCCTCTGCTGCTGCTGAAGCCAGCAGCATGCACTCATCCGCCTCTGCTGCCCTGCATCCCATGGCTGCTGGTAACTTCAGTGACGTCAGCAGCAGCGACAGCATGGGTAGCTATCACAGCACTGCAAGGGGCGGGGCTAGTGTGGGCAGTCTGTTAGTAGTGAGCTGTGTGGTTCCGGCTCGGCTGGAGGCGTGTGCGTATGGGGTGGTGGATGCAGTGGTTGGGGCGGCTGAGGGGTGGGTGGGCGAGTGGAGGGTGAGAGTGGCACAGGCGGAAGGGAAGATGGAGAGATGCGCCCGTGCTGCTGCTGCTGCTGCTGTAGCTGCTGCTGCTGCTGCTGCTGCCCCAGCTGCTGTTAGCGAAAGTTCCAACACCTCCCTTCCCCCGCCTTCGACTGAACTCTGGCGTTCCCTTATGAACGAAATTCAGCAGGTTCGTAACCAGCTGGCTGCCAAACCTGCAGTGGTTAGGTTCGGCACAGCTGACCGAACCTCGCTCTTAGCCTTGGACGCAGGCTCGGTGAGGGAGGCACTGGTGGGTCGGTGTGAGGCTTGGATTCGGGCGGCTGAGGAGGATATAGAAGGCAGGGCGGTTCGGGGTTGTAGAGAGGCGATTAAAGAGGTATCTGAGCTGAAGAAACTACTGGAGTTGATTAAGAGGGAGGCAGAGGGGGAACTTATGAGTAGAGATAGGGAACAGAGGCTCGGGCGAGTGAGAGAGGGAGAGGAGGGTGAGGAGGGGGAGCAGGGAGAGGAGGAACAGGAGGGAGAGAAGGGAGCGGAGAACAAGGCAGCTATGGGTAATGGTGGTGCGGATAAGGGTGAAGGATTGAGTGGGGATGTGCGGAGGCTGGTAGAGCATCTAGAGAGAGTGAGGGAGGCGGAGAGGAGGGTAGGAGAGGTGAGTGATGGAGTGGAGAAACTCAGGCCGTTAGTAGAGGCGGCTGTTTCTAAGGGAGGGGGAAGTGGCAAGGGGAAAAGGAGCACTAGCAGCAGCAGCAGCGGTGGTAGGAGCAGTAGTGCCGGGGTTGGGATGGCGCTGGTACAGGCAAGCTGGAAAGAGCTGGAGAAGGAGTGGGGAGAATTGGAATGGGCAAGAAAGGCTGTATTGGGAGGGAGAAAGGCAGGAGCAGAAGCAGCACGAAAGGGAGTAGAAGCTGCAGCAGGAGAATCCCCCAGCGGGATAGTTTTCCTCCAGGGGCTTGTGAGCATGCAGGTGTTGAGTGCGGTGCAGGTGCATGTGGGGGAGGTGGGGAGGCGTATGGAGGAGCTTGAGACGTGGTGGGACGCTGCTGCTCCTACCAGTGCGGATTGCTCTCGAGGCAGGGCTGCTGGGGCGCTGGTGCAGTGCGCACGCTTAGTGGGGCAGCTTAAAACGAGGATAGAGCTCATGAGGAGGGCGATTGGGCTGGTGGGAGGGGCGGGCGGGGAGGAGGAGGAGGAGGAGGAGGAGGTGGGGAGAGTGGAGGGGAGGTTAGAGAGGGTGGTTGCAGAGGGGGAGGAGATGCAGCGTATGTGGCTGTTGATTAATCATCTTTTGGATGTTATTGCCTCTGTGGAGGGGATTAGGGTTGCGGATTTCAACCCTGAATCGGACTTAACCCCTCTGCACTCCGCCTTGAGCGACGTGAACCAGGAGGAAGAGGTATTCGGGCAGCACGGTGCGTTCCGGGCAGTTCAATCGGCTGCCCGGAAACTAATTGCGAGCCTAGGTCTGGTGTCGAAGCTAGTTAAAGCCTCGCTGCAAGAGGCCCATTGGAGAGCCCTCGCCCGAGCATTGGGGTTCCAAGCCAAGGGCGGGCTCGGCGCCGGAGGTACCCTGCAGGTTCGGGATCTGGTTCGGGCGCTGGGAGGCTTGGAGGGTCGGGCGGCAGCGGAGCAGGTTTTATCTGCCGTCCAGGGGGAGGTGGCATTGAGACAGTTTATGGATAAGGTTGAAAAGGAGTGGGGCGAGCAGGAGTGGGCTTTTAAGGGGTTTAGAGACAAGTGGAAAATCGTGGGGAATTTGGGGGTGGTTGGGGAAATGGTGCTAGAGCATTTGAGTATGCTTGGAGCGATGAAGCAGTCTCCCTTCTTCCCTCCGTTTAGAGAGGCTGTGAGGGAGTGGGAGGGGCGACTGGGGCAGCTGAGTGAGCTGGTGGATGCGCTAGCAGACGCGCAGTCCAAGTGGGTCCGTTTGGAAGCACTCATGACGTCACCTGCCGTCCGGTCGATGCTACCCGACACGCACCGCGCCTTCCACGAAGCTTCCCTCCCGTTCACGGAGTTCCTGGGATCGCTCGCCGCCCGCCCTCTCGCGATCGACCTGGAGGGACTTGCGGACGAGGACGACGGAGCCGGGCGGCAGGTTTTGGCGGTTTGTGCGGAGGTGTTTGGGCGGGTGCTTTTGGAGGTTCAGGCACATCTGGACAAGCAGAGGCGGATGCTGCCAAGGCTGTACTTCCTGGGGGATGACGATCTGTTACAGCTCATCTCTGCTTCGCCCTCTGATTTATCTGCGGTATGTTTCTGTGTGGGCACGAAAATATGTGTACGTGTATGTCAAGTGAGTGTGCGAGTTGCCGCATCTGGACAAGCAGAGGCGGATGCTGCCAAGGCTCTACTTTCTCAGGGATGACGATCTGCTGCAGCTCATTTCTGCGTCCCCCACAGACCTCTCTGCTGTGAGTTGAATATTGGGTTTCATGTGTATGACGAGGGCTACCAAAGCTGTACTTCCTGGGGGATGACGATCTGCTGCAGCTCATCTCCGCCTCGCCCTCAGACCTGTCTGCGGTACGCATTGGTTCACTTGCATGCATGTCTCTCTGGGTCAGTTATGTGCATGTCTAGGCGGATGCTGCCAAGGCTCTACTTTCTCAGGGATGACGATCTGCTGCAGCTCATCTCTGCATCGCCTTTGGACCTCTCTGTGGTAAGTATATGTGTCTGTGTATGTGTGCACGGATGCTGCCGAGGCTGTACTTCCTGGGAGACGATGATCTGCTGCAGCTCATCTCCGCCTCGCCTTCGGATCTATCTGCTGTAAGTCTGAGTATGAATGAAGTGTCACTTCTGAGTCGACTCAAAAGACAAGCAGAGGCGGATGCTGCCGAGGCTGTACTTCCTGGGCGATGACGACCTGCTGCAGCTCATATCCGCATCACCATCAGACCTCTCTGCTGTACGTTTATGTGCATGTGTCTGTGTATGTGTATGTGTATGTGCGTATGATATGGTTTATGAGTGTGCGGATGCTGCCAAGGCTGTACTTCCTTGGAGACAACCATCTGCTGCAGCTCATGTCTGCCGACCTCTCTGCGGTAAGTAGATGTGTCTTTGTCTGTGTCTGTGCATATGTATGTGTGTGTGTGTGTGTGTGTGTGTGTGTGTGTGTGTGTGTGTGTATGTGTATGTGTATGTGTATGTGTGTGTGATATGGTTTATGTGTGTGCGGATGCTGCCAAGGCTGTACTTCCTTGGAGACAACCATCTGCTGCAGCTCATGTCTGCCAACCTCTCTGCGGTAAGTAGATGTGTCTGTGTCTGTGTCTGTGCATATGTATGTGTGTGTGTGTGTGTGTGTGTGTGTGTGTGTGTGTGTGTGTGTGTGTGTGTATGTGTGTGTGTATGTGTATGTGTGTGTGATATGGTTTATGTGTGTGCGGATGCTGCCAAGGATGTACTTTCTCAGGAACGACCATCTGCTGCAGGCAGCTCATCTCTGCATTGCCCTCAGACCTCTCTGCTGTAAGTTTGAGTTTGGGGTTTCACTTTTGAGTCAGCTTAAAAGACAAGCAGAGGAGGATGCTGCCGAGGCTGTACTTTCTGCGGGATGATGACCTGCTCCAGCTCATATCCGCATCATTTTTGGGGCGCCTCAAAAGTCTGGGGGATGATGTGATGACCTGCTCCAGCTCATATCCGCATCACCTTCGGATCTCTCTGCTGTACGTATATGTGTCTCTGTATGTGTATGTGTGTGTGATATGGTTTATGTATGTGCGTATGCTGCCGAGGCTGCACTTTTGGGGGGATGACGATCTGCTGCTGCAGCTCATGTCTGCATTGTCGTCAGGCCTCGCTGCTGTATGTTTCTGCGTGCCGGTTCGTTCATGTGTATGTGTGTGTGTGTGATTTGGTGTACGTGTAAGTGTATGCCCGAATGGATGTCGTTTCTGGGAATGACAATCCACTCCCTTTTTCCCCGCTCTCTCTCCCTGTCCCCTGTTCTCCTGCTTCAGGTGCACGTGCACATTCGCAAGCTCTCCACTGCAGTCTCATGGTCCCCTCCCATCCTCCCTCCATTCCCCTTTTCCCCCTCTCTCCCCCTCTCCCCTCTCCCCCTTTCTCCCCTCTTCACTCTTTTCCCATGTCAGGTACACGTGCACATTCGCAAGCTCTTCACAGCAGTCTCAGGCATTGAAGTATCGGCAGTCTCTGATACCATTTTGCCAGAAAAGAGTACAGCAGAGGATGTAGTGAAGTTTGCACCTTCAGGGGACGCAGGGAAGAGAGTATTTATCACCGCAGCTCTTTCCGACGGGGAGCGGCTCGTGCTGCACCAACCAGTGGAGCTTGCGGAAGGTGCTGCCACGTCAGCGAGTGCCACGTCAGCGGATGCCACGTCAGCGGGTGCCACGTCAGCGGAAGGACAGAAGCCAGCAGGAGCCACCAAGTGGCTGCTGGATCTCGACATGGCGCTGCGGACGACTCTGAGCGACCTGGTTGTGTCAGCGGTCGCTGAGCTGGCGGCGTGTGATTGGCTGTCGACTGCTGCGGCTGGGAAGAGGGAGAAGAGCAAATGCAGCGGGAAGGAGGGAAGTGGCGGCGGAGTGAGGAGGAGTGGAGTGAGGATGGGCGGTAGCAGCAGGAGGAATGGAGGAAGGTTCCTCGAGTGGCTGGGGAAGCTGCCTTTGCAGCCGGCGCTGCTAGCTCTTCAAGTGAGCTGGACTGCTCTGGTTGAAGGGATTTTGGCAGGCGAGGAACGGGAGGTAGATGAGCAAGGGGTGCAAGTGAGGGGTGGAAAGGAAGCAGGGCTGGAGGCTCTGGTGGTGGGGCTGGAGGGGCTTCTGCAGTGGCTGGCACGTGCCGTGAGGGAGCGGAGAGAGCTGGCTAGGAAAGCAGCGGGGGCAGGAGGAGGAGGAGCAGGCAGAGCAGCAGGGGGAGCAGGGGGAGTAGGAGAGGGGGCAGGTGGCGAGGAGGGGAGGTTGATGGAGGCCAAGTGTGAGGCGGTGATTACTGTGTTGGTTCACCTGCTGGAGAGCAGTAAGGCGCTGCTGCTGGAGCAGCAGGAGGAGCAGGCACGGGCAGAGAAGGAGGAGGAGGAGGATAAGGAGAATATGGAGTGTGCAGGGCTTCAGCAGAAGCAGAAGCAGAAGCGGAAGGAGAGGAAGCAACACGGGCTCTCCCTCTCCTCCTTTGCCTGGCGAAAATGCCTCCGATACTACCTCGACCCTTCCCTCCCTCCCCTCCACCGCCTCTCTGTTCAAATCGCAGACGCCTCTTTCACCTACGGGTTTGAATACTCTGGCTGTACTCCCTCCCTCGTCCGCACCTCCCTCACTGACCGCTGCTTCCTCGCACTTTCCCAGGCGCTCTGGCACGGCCAGGGCAGCGCTCTGATTGGTCCAGCTGGCACGGGGAAGACGGAGACGGTCAAGGCGCTCGGGCGGCAGCTCGGGCGGCCGGTTTTGGCGTTATCTTGCGATAGGAGCTTTGACAGTGCGGCGGTGGGGCGGGTTTTGGAGGGAGTGGCGAGGCTGGGCGCGTGGGGGTGCATGGACGAGTTCAACCGGTTGGACGAGAGTACAATGTCTGCGATCTCGCAGCACCTGGTGGCGATTCAGGGCGCGCTGAGGGAGGGACGGAGAGAGGCCGTGCTGGCTGGGACTGCCGTGCCCGTGCACCCTGCCACTGGTGAGTGGGCGTGGGTGGGTGTGTGTGTGTGCACCCTACTACTGGTGAGTGGGCGTCGGGGGATGGGGGAAACAGGGTGGGGGTGCATGGACGAGTTCAACAGGTTGGACGAGAGTACAATGTCTGCGATTTCGCAACATTTGGTGGCGATTCAGGGCGCGCTGAGGGAAGGAAGGAGGGAAGCCGTGCTGGCTGGGACTACTGTGCCCGTGCACCCTGCCACTGGTGAGTGGGCGTGGGTGGGTATGTGTGTGTGCACCCTGCCACTGGTGAGTGGGTGTGGGTGGGTGTGTGTGTGTGCACCCTGCCACTGGTGAGTGGGTGTGGGGGGATGGGGGGAACAGGGTCGGGGTGCATGGATGAGTGGAACAGGTTGGACGAGTGTACAATGTCGGCTATCTCACAACATCTGGTGGCGATTCAGTGCGCGCTGAGGGAGGGACTGCCGTGCCCGTGCACCGTGCTACTGGTGGGTGGGCGTGGGTGGGTGGGTGTATGTGTGTGTGTGTGCACCCTGCTACTGGTGAGTGGGTGTGGGGTGTTGTTCCTTGGTTGTTGTTGCTCTATGATGCCATGTGTGTGCTGTGATGTGTGCTGTGATGTGTGCTGTGATGTGTGCTGTGATGTGTGCTGTGATGTGTGCTGTGATGTGTGCTGTGATGTGTGCTGTGATGTGTGCTGTGATGTGTGCTGTGATGTGTGCTGTGATGTGTGCTTGGATGAGGGAAGGCAGGAGGGAGGCGGTGCTGGCTGGGACTGCTGTGCTCGTGCACCCTGCCACTGGTGAGTGCGCGGATATTCTTCTGCTGTTGTGTGTGGACTGCTGTGTGTGCTCTGTGAGACTGTGGCGATTTGCACTCATCCTTCCACTTTACCCCATTCCCTTACTCGCTCGCGCCTTTTCGACTCCCTCCCAGGCATATTCGTGACGCTCAACCCGCGCTATGCAGGCAGGGACCATGCCCTTTCCGTCACTAACCCATACGCACCATTCTCCACCCCCTCCCTTCATCTCCCTCCCAGGCATATTCGTGACGCTCAACCCGCGCTATGCAGGCAGGGACCACCTGCCTGAGAGCCTGTCTGCTCTGCTGCGACTTGTCACCATCAGCACCCCTGACCCCTTTCCCTTGCCTCCCCACCCACCCACTATCCCTCCCCCACCTGTCACTGCCTCCCCCTCTCCCAGGCAGGCATATTCGTGACGCTCAACCCGCGCTATGCAGGCAGGGACCATCTGTCTGCTGCGCCCTCTCACAGTCGCCACCCCTCATGCACCTTCTTCCCTCCTAACCCACCCCCTTTCCCTCCCCCTCCTGCATCTGTCTCCCCGTTCCCAGGCATATTCGTGACGCTCAACCCGCGCTATGCAGGCAGGGACCACCTGCCCGAGAGACTGACAGCTGACCTTCGAGTCACCCCACAACTGCCTCTCACCCTACTGTCCCTTTCCCTTCCTCATCTCTTACTCCCTCCCAGGTATATTCGTGACGCTCAACCCGCGCTATGCAGGCAGGGACCATCTGCCTGAGAGCCTGTCCGCCCTCCTGCGTCCTCTGACAGTCGCCGTCCCTGATGCATGCGCCATCGCCCATGTGACTCTGCTGTCGTGTGGGTTCTCGCATGCGGAGAGGCTGGCTGACGCTGCCACCCGCATATTCCAGGTATGGCTCGTGTGGGTGTGTGCATACACATGTACAAACACAGGAATGCACAGAAAGTGAACATCCCTGGTGCATGCGCCATCACCCGTGTGACTCTGATGTCGTGTGGATTCTCGCATGCTGAAAGGCTGGCTGATTCTGCCACTCGAATCTTCCAGGAGTGTGTGAATGCACAAGTACACGCACTCTGACAAGCACATGAACGCACTCATACATTCAGAGTCTCCCTCTTGTGATGCATGCGCCATCGCCCATGTGACTCCGCTGTCGTGCGGGTATTCGCATGCGGAGAGGCTGGCTGATGCTGCAACTCGCATCCTCCAGGTATGGCTGGTGCTGGTGCTCGTGCTCGTGCTCGTGCTCATGCTGGTGCTGGTGCTGGTGCTCGTGCTGGTGCTCGTGCTCGTGCTCGTGCTCGTGCTCGTGCTCGTGCTGGTGCTGGTGCTGGTGCTGGTGGTTGTGTGTCCATGCTTCGCCCCCATTTCCTTCCTCCTGGTCCTCTGTGGTTGCCAGTTCCTTTTCCAGCAGTCAGAGCAGTGCTTGGCCCCCCAACCCCAGTACGACTTCAGCCTCAGAGCGCTCAAAGCCACTCTTGAATCTGCTAGGCCACACTCATTCCCTTCCTCCCTACTCGTCCCCTTGGCCTGCCCTTTCTGTCTCCAGCGGTCAGAGCAGTGCTTGGACCCCCCACCCCAGTACGACTTCAGCCTCAGAGCGCTTAAAGACACTCTTGACTCCCCCATACTTGTTTCCCCTTGAAACTCTTCTTCATCCCGCCCACACCTTTTTTTTCTTCCTCCAGGAGTCCGAGCAGTGCTTGGCCCCCCAGCCTCAGTACGACTTCAGTCAGAGAGCGCTCAAAGCAGCTCTGAGATCTTCTCTCACTCTCTCATTTCGCTCCTTCCTCGTCATCCCTCTTGTCTACCTTGCCCCGCAGGAGTCTGAGGAATGCTTGGACCCCCAGCCTCAGTACGATTTCAGTCTGAGAGCGCTCAAAGCAGCTCTGAAATCTGCTAGGTCTGTTATGCTGGCGCAGACAGAATTGGAGGGGGGTGCGAGTGAGAATGAGGGTAAGGAGAGGAAAGAGGAAGTGGAAGAAGGTGCGAGTGAGAATGAGAGCAAGGGGATGAGCGAGGTGGTGGAAGGGGGTGCGATTGAGGGGGAAAAGGAAAGGAGGGAAAGTGGTATGGAGGAGGTGTGTGAGAGAGAGATGGAGGTGAAGGGTGAGGAGGGTAGGGAGGAGGGATGTGTGGAAGAGGAGGAGGGGGGGAGTGTGAGATCAGAGGAGAAAGAGGAGTTTTACGAGGCAGAGGATGGGGAGCAAGGGGGGGATGAAGAGGGGAAGGAGGAGGGGAGGCAGGAAGAGGGGGAGGAGGAGGAGGAGGAGGAGGAGGAGGAGAAGGAGGAGGAGGAGGAGGAAGGGGAGGAGCCGGAGGTGAGAGAGGAGGTGTTGCAGGTGGAAGAAACAGAGGAGGGAGAAGGGGACGGAGAGGAGGACATAGTAGAGGAGGTAAAGGAGGAGGTAGGGGCGGAAGAGGAGGAAGAGGAGGAGGAGGAAGAGGACGAAGAGGCCCACCGTGTGTCGAGATGGCCGTTGGAGTCCCGATCCCTAGTCCAGGGCATTTTCGGCCAGCTGGCAGCCAAGCTGGCACCTGCTGACGTGGCAACCTTCCGGGAGGTGGTTTCCCGGAACCTTCCGGACGTGGCTGTGGAGGAGATGGGCGACGCTGAGCTGACAGCGGCGGTGGAGGTGGTGTGTGAGAGGGAGGGGTACGTGGCGAGCTGTGATTGGACGAGGAAGGTGCTGCAGATGGCGAGGTTGATGGGGCTGCATCAGGGGATCATGCTGGTGGGGCCGCCTGCTGGGAAGACCACGGCCTGGAGAGGTGAGAAGGGGTGAAGATGGGTGGAGATGGGTTGGGAGGGGTGATGATGGGACGGCGATGGGTGGTAAGGGGTGAGGAGGGATGATGAGACGTGAGGACGAGAGGGATGGGTCTGCATTAGGGGATCATGCTGGTGGGGCCGCCTGCTGGGAAGACCACTGCTTGGAGAGGTGAGGATGGGTGAAGAGCGGTGATGCGGGATGAAGGTGGGTTAGGTAGGGGAATAATAGGTTGAGGATGGGTAGAAAGGGATGAGGAGGGATGGTGATGGCGAGGCTGGTGGTGAGGCTGATGGGGCTGCATCAGGGGATCATGCTGGTGGGGCCGCCTTCTGGGAAGACCACTGCTTGGAGAGGTGAGGAGCGGTGAAGAAGCATGGAGATGGGTGATGATGTTGCGGGGATGAGCGGAAAGGGGTGTCTGTGACAGTGGTGGATCCCAGAGAGTCTGTCCAAGGCACCACCCTCTCCCAAGCAGGCGCTCTTTGGGGGCGTTGAGGCAACCACCCTCTCCTTCTTCTCCCCCATTCTCTCCTCCCCGCCTCCAGTGCTGCACAAGGCCCTGGAGGCAACGAAAGGGTCGCAGGTGTCGGTGACAGTGGTGGATCCTAAGAGTCTGTCGCTCCCATTCCCGCCTCCCCTTCTTGCAGTGCTGCGCAAGGCCTTGGAGGCATCGCAAGGCGTGCAAGTATCCGTGACAGTGGTGGATCCCAAGAGTCTGTCCAAGGAGGCGCTGTTTGGGAGCGTGGAAGCCACCACGCGGGAGTGGAGTGGCAGGACGGCGTGTTCACCCAAGCCTCTACTCTCTACCCCCTCCCTACCCTCTTCTCTTCCTCCCCTTCCTACCCTTTCACCCCTGTCTGCAGTGCTGCGTGAGGCCTTACAGACATCGCAAGGCGTGCAGGTGTCCGTGACAGTGGTGGATCCCAAGAGTCTGTCCAAGGAGGCGCTGTTTGGGAGCGTGGAAGCCACCACGCGGGAGTGGCAGGACGGCGTGTTCACCCGGGCTTTAAGGGCCGTCGTGCGAGAGTATGAGGAGGAGAGGGAGCGGGAGACAGGGAGAGATGGGGTGGCGGAGGGGGTGGAAGAAGAGGAAACGGAGGGCGATAGGGAGAGGAGGGAAGGGATGGAAGGGGAAGGGGATGAGGGCGATGGAGGAGGGGAGATGCGGCAAAGAACAGGAGGGAATGCGGGGAGGGGCGTGGAGTGGCGGCGGCGGCACTGGTTTGTGTTTGATGGGGAGGTGGACCCCATTTGGATAGAGACTCTCAACTCACTGCTGGATGATAACAAGGTGAGAGGGCGTACCCATTGCCTTGGGCTGCATGAAAGGGCAATGCAGGGAGGGGCGACACAAGGAGGGAAGATAAGGGGAGGCGGCGGCACTGGTTTGTGTTTGATGGGGAGGTGGACCCCATTTGGATTGAGACACTCAACTCGCTGCTGGATGACAATAAGGTGGGCAATGTGGGAATGATGCACAGAGCGGGTAGGCGTGAAGGGATAACAGGGGGAGGGGTGACACAAGGATTGGTTAGGAGGCAGTAATGGTACTGGTTTGTGTTTGATGGCGAGGTGGACCTTATTTGGATTGAGACGCTCAACTCGCTGCTGGATGACAATAAGGTGAGACAGCATATGCGAACTTGGCAAGGGTGGGGTAGGGTGAGGCAAGGGTGGGGTAGGGTGAGGCAAGGGTGGGGTAGGGTGAGGCAAGGGTGGGGTAGGGTGAGGCAAGGGTGGGGTACGGTGAGGCAAGGGTGGAGTAGGGCGAGGCTGAACTGTCATGACTCTGCCTGCCTACAGGCGAACGCCTCTCGCTCCTCCCCCACATGGACTGCATATGCGAATGCCCCTCTTTTGGCCACGCCACTATACCCCTCTGCGCCCCTCCCCTCCCCTTTACATTCAGGTTATGACTCTACCCACAGGAGAGCCCTCACATGCACTGCATATTCGAGTGCCCCTCCATCTCACCCACAACACTCTGCATTCTGCCCCCCTCTCCCACGCTCCCCACCCCGTCTGCCCTCCCCTGCCACCCATCAGGTCATGACTCTACCCACAGGAGAACGCCTGCCCCTCCTCCCCCACATGCACTGCATCTTCGAATGCCCCTCTCTCGCTCACGCCACTCCCGCCACCATCTCTCGTCTCGGAGTGGTCTGCTTCCCCCACTCCCTCCTCTCCCTCCCCATGCTCCTCCACCGCTTCCGCTTCCTCCTCCCCCCCATGCCCTTCCCCCCACCCTCCTCCTCCCCGTCCTCTTCATCTCTTTCCCCTCTCCCTCCCTCTCTCTCCACCACAACAACACCTGCACCAGCTACCCCCGCTACCACCACCACCACTACTCTCTCTTCGTCCCACTCCTCCCACTCCTCCCACTCCTACCTCTCCTCCCACTCCTCCCACTCCTCCCTCACCTCCTCACTCTTCTCCGCGCCTCTCTTCCTCCCCTCGCGCCTCTCCCTCGGGATTGACGCGCCAGACGAGCATCTGGAGCTGCTGCCGCCTGGCCTGCCACAGCCGCTGCTACAGCCGGTGCTGGCTGTGGCGCTGGCGGCGCTACAGCCGGGCGGGCTGCTGCAGCAGGCTCTAGAGGCTGCTGCTGGTGTCAGTGGCGCTGGTACTGGTGCTACTGGTGCCAATGCTGCCAGCGCTGCCTGTGCTACAGCCGTTACAGCTGCAGGTTCGGCCGAGGCAGATTCCATTCCCTTTGATTCCATGCGTGCCCTTCGCTCGGTGTTCTTGTACTATTGCTACCGAACCTCGGACCTCTGCCGAACCTCCGCTTCCCAAGCCACTCCGAAGAATGATGCGCTTGAAACGGCTGGTGTGCGGAGCGGTGGGGGAGGGGTGAAGGGAGGTGCGAATCGGTCTATTGCGGTGGTGGGGAGATTTACCAGGAAAGCAATGGTAGAGGCAATCATGGCAGGGGTTGCAGGGGGAATGGATGCTACCTCTCGCTCTGCCTTTGCAGACCGATTAGCTTGTGTTTTGGCGTCTGAAGGTGGGGGAAAAGATGAGGTGGCATGCCGTGCCACGTCAGAGCAGCTGCTGAGCTGTTTCGCTGACGTGGCGAGCGGCCATTGGAAGCCGTGGGAGGCGGCTCTGCCTGGATTGGCTGATGCTGATGCTGCTGTTGGGGGGTGCTTCGGGGATGAGGAGGAGGTGGAAGAGGGAGAGGAGGGAAGTGAGGAGGAAGAGGAGAGGAGTATGAGCTACAGAAGGAGTAATTCTGTGTCTGGTCGGAGCAATGGCAGTATGGGTGTTACAAAGCAGGTTGGTAGACAGGCGAAGGGTGCAGCTGGAAAGGCAGGAAGAGAAGGAAGGGGAGGATCAGGAGGGGTAAGAGGAGCAGGAGGAGCAGGAGCAGCAACAGGAGCAGCAGGTGCAGGAGTAGTGGCAGGAGCAGGAGGGGGAGGAGTAGACTCAACCACGGTTATCCCCACAGCAGAGACAGAGCGGTTGGGTGCGGTGATCAGGGCCAGTCTCGCCCAATCACAGCCCATCCTGCTCTGTGGCCCACCTGGGAGTGGGAAGACTCTCGCGCTGACAGCTGTCGCGCAGGCATTGGCTACTGCTGGCGCTGACGAGGCACAGGCTGCTGCTGCCGCCGCTGCTGCTGCAGCTGGCGCTGCTGGTGGTGCTGGTGCTGGCAGTGCTGGTAGTGCTGGTGTTGGTGGTGCTGGTGGTGGGGTTGGAATGGGGACGCAGCAGCGAAAGGAGAAGCTTTCGCAGAAGCAGCAAGAAGGGAGCAAGCAATCGGCAGAGGCCGAGGTGGCGGCAGTGGCAGGGCCAAAGCTCCACGTGGCAGCTTTCAATTTGTCACTGTCGACGTCTCCCGAGTCGTTTATCGCTGAGCTGGAGCAGCACTGCCGCTACGTCAAGCTCCCTGCTGGTGGTGCTCGTGGTGCTGGTGTTGGTGTTGGTGGTGCTTCTGGTGCTGCTGCTGCTGCTGCCGGTGTTGGTGTTGGTGCTGCTGGTGGGTCACACGAAACAGCAGCAGCAGCAGCAGCAGCAGCAGCAGCAGCAGGAGTGGTTTCGACATCAGCATCAGCAGTGGCAGCAGCAGCCGCCACTTCCAGTGTTAACTGGGCGCTGGAGCCTAAGGACCCAGTACCAGCGGACGGCCGTCTGCTGCTATTGTTAGATGAGGTGAATCTCCCCGCCCCTGACGCTTTTGGCACCATCCGCATGGCCGGCCTGCTTCGGCAGCTAGCGGAGCCGCAGCTGATTCCGCAGGCGGCGGGCGGGGTGGGCGGCGGTAGTGGGGAAAGCAGCAGGAATGGCGATACGCACGGCAGAAGCAGCAATAACGTTGGCAGTGGTGGTGGTGGTGGTGGTGCTGGCAGTGGTAGTAGCAGCAGCAGTGGAGGGAGCGGTGGGTATGCGTATGGGTTCTGGCACCCCAAGAGGCGCGTTTGGGTGCAACTGAGGCGGGTGTCATTTGCAGCCACTTGCAATCCGGCTTCAGACGTGGGCAGGCATGAACTGCCTGTACGCCTGACCAGGCATCTCACTGTTGCTCATGTTCCGTTTCCGTCCGGCGCGGCTCTTACGAGAATATACAGCACGTTTATAAGGGGGATATTGGCCCGGAACTGGCCTGGGGTGGCAGTGGAGGCGCGGGGGAATCCTCAGGTGGTTTCTCAGGTGGATTCTCAGGTGGTTTCTCAGGTGGGCGCGTGCCTGGCAGCGGCGATGGTGGAGGTGTATGAGGAGTGTGGGGTGAGGTTCACTCGGGCAGTGCAGCAGCACTACGTGTGCAGTCCTAGGGAGCTTACCAGATGGACTAGAGGCATCCGATTCGCCCTGGTGCATGGGCAGAAAGGGGTTCAGAGGGGTGGAAAGGGAGACGGGGACGAGAGGGGGGAGAAGGGGGCGGTTGAGAGGGGTGAAAAGGGTGGAGTGAGTGGGAAGAGTGGTAAGGGGCGTATGGGTGCTGGTGGTGCGAGATTGGGTGGTGGTGTGGGGCTGGTTGGAGCAACAAGTGCACATACAGGCGTTGGCGGTGCGGCTATCATCGGTGGTGATGGGGAGGGCAACTGGGCGGCAAGGCTTGTCCTGTCATGGCTGCATGAGGGAATGCGCATCTGGTATGATAGGCTGGTGAGGGAGGAGGAGAGGCAGTGGACGGCGAAGCTGCTGCTGCGGGTGGCAACAGAAAAGATACTCCCGATGCTCGTGCCTCTTGTAGGGAACACTCTTGTAACGAGTACAGGGAATCCTGTAGCTGTTGCTGATGGAGTTTCTGATGGTGCTCCTGCTGTGCCTTTCTCGCTACCTGCCGACCCGAGCCGGTTGGTGTTTTCGTCGCTTCTGACGGGGCGGTACAAGCCGTGCGCGGTGAACCACCTGAAAAAGCACCTGAAGTGGGTCCTGACAGGGGAGGCCCCGGATGCCGCAGGAGGGGCAGGTGCCGGCCAGGTGAAACCAGGTGTTTCTTCAGGTGCTGGGGCAGCAGAAAAGGCCGGGGACAGGAGAGGAGGAGCAGGAAAGCGGGCGTCAAGCAGCAGGGCAGGAGAGATGGAGGAGGAAACTGGGAGGAGAGTATTGGAAGAATCGGAAGAACTGGGAGTGGAGAAGGGGGAGGAGGATGCAGTGGAGGTGCAAGCAGGGGAGGTGGTATTGACTGATGAGTTTGTGTGTGCGGTGGTGAGGGCAGCATCGGTGCTGCAGCAGCCCATGGGGCATTTGCTGCTGCTGGGTCCTCCTGCAACTGGGAAATCGACCGTTGCCAGGTGGGTGTGAAGCATCTGTTTGAGAGAGGGTGTGTGTGTGAGAGTTAGGGTCTGTGTGTGCGGTGGTGAGGGCGGCATCGGTGCTGCAGCAGCCCATGGGGCATCTGCTGCTGCTTGGTCCTCCTGCGACCGGGAAATCAACCATTGCCAGGTGGGTTTGGGGTTTGGGTTTAAGGATGGTTTGGGTCTAGTGTTCATTTTAGAAGTTAGAGCTTACTGATTGAGTGTATGTGCATGAGTTTGTGTGTGCGATGGTGAGGGCGGCATCGTTGCTGCAGCAGCCCATGGGGCAACTGCTGCTGCTTGGCCCTCCTGCCACTGGAAAGTCTACTGTTGCCAGGTGGGTGTGAAGTATTTCTGTTTGCTTGTGTGTGTGTAATCGCTGTGATGGGATTGGAGGAGGGGCAGGTGGCACGGCACTCCCTCCATGTGCTTCCTTTTGAGGCGCCTCAAAAGTCATTCCTGTTTGCTTGTGTGTGTGTGATCGCTGTGATGGGATTGGAGGAGGGGCGGGTGGCGTTCCCTCCATGTGCTTCCTTGGTTGCCCTCTCCACTTACCCACGGTGCCTTCCCAATTCTGCATGCAGATGTGCGATTGCTGCGACGGGATTGGTAGAGCTGCGGGTGGCGCTGCACGCAGGATCCGAGGTGCTTCTGTGGCTCCAACATTGAACCCTAAATGCATCCCTCTCCTCTCCTCCTCATAACCCTTGCTGGCCAATCACATGCTCGCAGATCCGCAATCGCTGCGACGGGATTGGTGGAGGTGCGGGTGGCGCTGCACGCGGGATTCGAGGAGCGCGAGCTGGACGGCCCGCTGGAGGAGGCGCTGCGGGCGGCGGGGTGCGACGGGCGGCGCGTTTGTCTTGTTCTGGAGGAGGCGCATCTGGTGGAGAGCGCTGTCTTGGAAAGGCTCAACTCGCTTCTCACGGGGGGGGACGTTCTTGGGCTGTTTGGAGCGGAAAAGCAGCAGGTGAGAGGGGGGGGGTCGGGTGATGGTGGTACCATACAGCCAACAGACTTGAGTTCATTCAGAAGATGCCAAGCAGCGCATCTGGATGAGCAGTGCTTCTGGTGAAGAGCTCTGTTCTGGAGAGGTTCAACTCGCTTCTCATGGGGAGGGGAGGGGGGGGGGGGGGGGGGAGGAAAGAGGTGGGGGTGTGTCGTTCTCGGGCTGTTTGGAGCGGAAAAGCAGCAGGTGAGAGGGGGGGGTCGGATGTCTGTACAGTAGAAGCATAGTAAGGCCAGCCGGACCCCAAACCTGAGAGGTGAGAGTGTTTTTGAGTCGACTCAAAAACGCTTTTGAGTCGACTCAAAAGGGTGTCTGTACAGTAGAAGCATAGTAAGGCCAGCCGGACCCCCAACCCGAGAGGTGAGGGTGTTTTTGAGACGTCTCAAAAACACCCTCACCTCACGCAGCAGGTGGAATCGGGTGTCTGTACAGTAGAAGCATAATAAGGCCAGCCGGACCCCAAACCCGAAACCCTAAATCCTGAACCTGGACTCTGAACCCTCTGCTGAATCCCTCTCTGAACCCCTCTTTCCCTGCAGGAGCTGCTTGAATCCCTCCGGCAGCGAGGGGAGGGAGAGGGAAGCGAGGAGGCAGCATGGGCAGGGTTCAGGAGGAGGATCCAAGGGGACCTGCACGTGGTGCTGACGATGACCAGCCAGGGCAGCGCGCACATGCGCCAGAGCATGCTGGCGTCCCCGGCTCTCTTCAACCGCTGCACTGTGCTCTGGCTGCCGCCCTGGGGGGACACGGGGCTTGCTCCGCTTGCTCAGAGTCGCCTCGCCGGTGTTTCGCTGGTTCACCCTGTCTCGGCCGCAGCTGCTGCAGCAGCAGGAGGAGCAGGAGGAGGAGTAGGAGGAGGAGCAGGAGGGGCAGGAGGAAGAGGAGACTCCAAGCAGATTGATATGCCGGCTGATTCTGCGGGTGGTGCTGCTGGTGGGGCTGGGGAAGCGAAGGAGAGGCAGCTGCTGGCGGAGGTTCTGGTGGCAATTCATGGCTGCGCTGTTAGTGCTGTTAGCGAGTCGCTCAATAACAGAGCTTTTGGGAAGGCTGGGCTGGGAGGGGAGCAGCAGCAGGAGGGGAGCTTGCAGCATTCCTTCTCCCCAGACTCTCTCATCTCCCTCCGCTCCTTCTCAGACCTCCTCACCCACTTCCACTCCTCCGTCTCCCACTCGCACCGCCGCGCACACCGCACCTTCCAGCACCTCTCCCTGGGCCTCACAAAAGTCACAGCCGCAGAGCACCGCGTAGTACTCCTCCGAAAACACTTAGAACTCAAATCGAAGGAGCTCCAAGTGAAAGAGTCTGCTGCGAACGGGAAGTTACAGCAGATTGCGGCTGAGCAAGCGCTAGGGGAGAGGCAGAGGAAGGAAGCCCAGGGGCTGATTGCGAGGTTGGACGAGCAGGCAAGGAGTGTGGAGAGGCATAGGAGGGAGGCGCAGGAGAATCTGGAAAGGGTAGAGCCGGCGGTTGATGCGGCGAAAACTGCAGTGAAGTCGATTAGAAAGTCGCAGCTGGACGATTTGAAGGCCATGCCGAATCCACCGAGCGCAATTAAACTGGTGAGTGGTTCTGTCTATGTGTGTGTAAGGCCCGTGTCTGCCCGTGTAAGGTAAGGCCCCGGAGAGGCAGAGGAAGGAAGCTCAGGGGCTGATTGCGAGGTTGGACGAGCAGGCAAAGAGTGTGGAGAGGCACCGGAGGGAGGCGCAGGAGAATCTGGAGCGGGTCGAGCCGGCAGTTGATGCGGCGAAAACGGCGGTGAAGTCGATCAGGAAATCCCAGCTGGACGATTTGAAGGCCATGCCGAATCCACCGAGCGCCATTAAGCTGGTGAGTGGTGTGCACTGAACCAGACTAAGCCTGGGGGTAAAGGCGGGGAAAAAGGCGGTGCAGTCGATTAGGAAATCGCAGGTGGATGATCTCAAGGCCATGCCCAATCCACCGAGCGCGATCAAGCTGGTGAGTTCCAGTATATGTGTGTGCCTGGGGATAGTGGCAGTTGAAACGGCGGTGAAGTGGATACGGAAGTCGCAGCTGGATGATCTCAAGGCCATGCCGAATCCACCGAACGCGATCAAACTGGTGAGTGCCTGTGTGTGTGTGTAAGCATGTGTCTGCTTGTGTCTCCTCCACTACACGGAAATTACAGCTGGATGATCTCAAGGCCATGCCGAATCCACCGAGCGCGATCAAACTGGTGAGTGCCTGTGTGTGTGTGTAAGCATGTGTCTGCTTGTGTCTCCTCCACTACACGGAAATCACAGCTAGATGATCTCAAGGCCATGCCGAATCCACCGAGCGCGATTAAACTGGTGAGTGCGTGCAGGTGTGCTTGCTATGCCATAGGGTGGCAGGGTGTTCTCTCCGTGGTGCGCCAAAATAGCTTCATCTGCTCCACTCCCTTTCCCTTCTTCCCCACCCCACCCTGCCCTCTTCAACCAGACGCTGGAAGGAGTGTGTCTGCTCCTGACCGGCTTAAAGCCCTCCACGTGGCAGGGCATTCTCTCTTGCTGGTATGCCGAAATGACTTCTCTCTTCCACTCACAACCCGTCCTCCTCTCCCCTCTCCCCTCTCCCATCTTCCCTTAAACACCAGACGCTGGGAGGAGTGTGTCTGCTCCTGACCGGCTTAAAGCCCTCCACGTGGCAGGGCATTCTCTCTGTGTTGGCTGCCAAAGCAACTTCTCTCCCCCAACCCCCACTCCTCGCCTCCCCCCTTTACCCCACCAGACGCTAGAAGGAGTGTGTCTGCTGCTGACGGGTTTAAAGCCCACCACGTGGCATTCTCTCTGTCGTGCGGCGAAACGACTTCATCCCCCTCACTCACCCTCCCTTTCCCCCCCTCGTCCCCAACCACACTTCCCTTGAACCCCAGACGCTCGAGGGCGTGTGTCTCCTCCTGACGGGTTTAAAGCCCACCACGTGGCAGGGCATTCTCTCTGTCGTGCGGCGAAACGACTTCATCCCCAATATACTGGGATGCGATATGGAGGCCATAGACCCCGTGCTGGTGCTGCGCGTGAAGCGAGAGTACCTGGATGCGCGAGTGATCTCATTTGATGCCGTCAACAGGTAAGCAATTGAATGTGTGGTAAACTGGTAGTAATGCGATATGGAGGCTATAGATCCGGTGCTGGTGCTGCGTGTGAAGAGAGAGAGTACCTGGACGCGCGGGTGATCTCCTTTGACGCCGTCAACAGGTGAGAGAGAGAGAGAGAGAGAGTCAATGTGTGGTAAGGTGTGGAGCATAGACCCCCGCCATAGGCAGAGATAGACCCCCCCATTCAGTGCTGCGGGTGAAGAGGGAGCACCTGGACGCACGGGTGATCTCATTTGGTGCTGTCAACAGGTGAGCATGCAAGCACACAATATGGTGGTGAGGGTGTGCGGTGAACCGTAGAGAGTCAGTGAGCAGGTGAACCGTAGAGAGTCAGTGTGCAGGTGAACCGTAGAGAGTCAGTGAGCAGGTGAACCGTAGAGAGTCAGTGGGCAGGTGAACCGTAGAGAGTCAGTGTGCAGGTGAACCGTAGAGAGTCAGTGGGCAGGTGAACCGTAGAGAGTCAGTGGGCATGTGAACTGTAGAGAGTCAGTGGGCATGTGAACCGTAGAGAGTCAGTGGGCATGTGAACCGTAGAGAGTCAGTGGGCATGTGAACCGTAGAGAGTCAGTGGGCATGTGAACCGTAGAGAGTCAGTGGGCATGTGAACCGTAGAGAGTCAGTGTGCAGGTGAACCGTAGAGAGTCAGTGGGCAGGTGAACCGTAGAGAGTCAGTGGGCATGTGAACCGTAGAGAGTCAGTGGGCATGTGAACCGTAGAGAGTCAGTGGGCATGTGAACCGTAGAGAGTCAGTGGGCATGTGAACCGTAGAGAGTCAGTGGGCATGTGAACCGTAGAGAGTCAGTGGGCATGTGAACCGTAGAGAGTCAGTGGGCTTGTGAACCGTAGAGAGTCAGTGGGCATGTGAACCGTAGAGAGTCAGTGGGCATGTGGGCCTCTGTTCTCGTGGTTAGAGGTAGCGGTGCAGTATGGGGAGATCATCCGGGCTGTGCAGCCCATGAGGGGCGAGAGTGCTGACTCTTTCACTTCCATCTCCTGCTTTATCCACTGTGTGTTATCATCACAAGGGCGAGCAAGGCGTGCGGGCCGCTGTTCTCGTGGCTGGAAGCAGCGGTGCAGTATGGGGAGATCATCCGGGCCGTGCAGCCCATGAGGGCCGAGATGGAGCAGCTGGAGGGGGTGAGGCGGGGAGCATGGCGGAAGAATTGCAACACGTGCAGGTGAGGTTACGCTTTCTGGTTACCACAATCAGGTTACCACTGAGTGCTGAGTGCTGCATGAAAGGACGAGATGGAGCAGGTGGAGGGGGAGGCAGGCAGCATGGCGGAGGAGCTGCAGCACGTGCAGGTGAGCTAACAGTCTCTGGTTACCACAATCAGGTCTGGTTACCACAATCAGGTCTGGTTACCACTGAGCGCTCCATGAGAGGGCCGTGCAGCCCGTGAGGGACGAGATGGAGCAGCTGGAGGGGGAGGCGGGGAGCATGGCGGAGGAGCTGCAACACGTGCAGGTGAGGTTACGCTTTCTGGTTACCACTCTGGTTACCGCAATCAGGTTACCACTGAGTGCTGAGTGCTGCATGAAAGGACGAGATGGAGCAGGTGGAGGGGGAGGCGGGCAGCATGGCGGAGGAGATTCAGCACGTGCAGGTGGGTGTGTGTGTGGGTGTGTGTGTGGGTGTGTGTGGGTGTGTGTGGGTGTGTGTGTGGGTGTGTGTGGGTGTGTGTGGGTGTGTGTGGGTGTGTGTGGGTGTGTGTGGGTGTGTGTGGGTGTGTGTGGGTGTGTGTGGGTGTGTGTGGGTGTGTGTGGGTGTGTGTGGGTGTGTGTGGGTGTGTGTGGGTGTGTGTGGGTGTGTGTGGGTATGTGTGGGTATGGTGGGTGGGTGTGGTGGGTGTGGTGGGTGTGGTGGGTGTGGTGGGTGTGGTGGGTGGGTGTGGTGGGTGGGTGTGGTGGGTGTGTGTGGGTGTGGTGGGTGTGGTGGGTGTGTGTGGGTGTGGTGGGTGTGGTGGGTGTGGTGGGTGTGTGTGGGTGTGGTGGGTGTGGTGGGTGTCTGTGGGTGTGGTGGGTGTGGTGGGTGTGTGTGGGTGTGGTGGGTGTGGTGTCACGAGTCTGCTTTCTGAGTGGCAAGCGTACACCACTCTGCACCGCTCATTCACTGCTCTTCACCTTCCACACCACCCCTCACCGGACTGCACCACCCTTCATTTCTTTCATGAGTCCATTGGCAATCTGGAGGAGCTCATGGAAGCATGCCGGGACGAACACTCCCTCCTCCTCTCCGCCTGCGAAGCCATGCGCGCCGACATCCCTAAGCCTCCTGTCTTCCCGTTCCCTTGCTCCTCTCGGCACCACTCTTCACCGCTCTGCACCATCTTCATTGCGTTCAGGAATCCATTGGTAATCTGGAGGAGCACATGGAAGCATGCCGGGACGAACACTCCCTCCTCCTCTCCGCCTGCGAGGCCATGCGAGCCGACATCCCCCCCTAACCCTCCTGTCTTCCTCCCTGTCTCCCTTCCCCCCTACCACCTTGCATCGCCCTTCACCGCACTGCACCACTCTTTATCGCTCTGCACCCATCAGGAGTCCATTGGCAATCTGGAGGAGCGCATGGAAGCGTGCCGCGACGAGCACTCCCTCCTGCTCTCCGCCTGTGGAGCCATGCAAGCCGACATCCCTCTAAATCTTCCTTTCTTACTCCCTGTTGTCCTTCCCCCACACCACCCTGCATCACCCTTCACCGCTCTCCACCCATCAGGAGTCCATTGGCAATCTGGAGGAGCGCATGGAAGCATGCCGCGACGAGCACTCCCTCCTCCTCTCCGCCTGTGAAGCCATGCGAGCCGACATCCACCAATCAAAGCTCGCCATGCAGCGAGCCGCCAGCTTAGTCAAAGACCTGACGTACGAGCGTGACCGTTGGATGAAGCAGCGCGAGATGCTCAAGAGTCGGGCGGCGGCGTGCTTAGGCGACGCTTTGCTAAGAGCCGCGAGTCTGGCGTATCTGGGCCCGCTGGAGTTGGCTGAAAGGCAGCGGCTTTTAGCTAAGTGGCAGGAGGTGGTGGGTTCCCGCGGGTTGAAGTTCTCGCAAGGGGGTGTGCTGAGGGGTGAGGTGGGGTTGGATGGGGTTCAAGAGAGGGGAGCGGAGGGGGGTGAGGAGGGGTGGGGAGGGGTGGAGGAGGATGAGGAGGTGGAGGAGCGGGCGAAATGGGAGGCGGTGGGGTTACCACAGGACGAGTATGCGTTACAGAACGCAGAATCGGTGCTTAAGTGCCGGAGGGTGCCTCTCCTTGTGGACCCTTCTGGAAGAATGGTTGAGTTCCTTCGGAAGGTTCTCTCCTGCTCCGCCCCTGCTGCTACAGCTGAGACTGCTACAGACGGAAGCACCGAATCCGCTACAGCCGAGTCTGTTATATCTGATTCTGGTGCTACAGCCAAAAATGTTCCTGGTTTGAGTGACAGCAAGGGTTCATGGGAAGGGAAGCAGGAAGGGGGGGTGGTGTGTGTGAGTGCACAGGAGGAAGAGAGTGTGTTGGCACGAGCAGCGGAAAAGGCAGTCAGATTCGGCCTCCCGTTGATCATCAGAGACGTTTCACAAATGAGCTCTATTCTCTCCTCCCTCCTCCTCTCCTCCCCCTCCTCCTCCTCATCCTCCTCTCACTCCCTCCTCTCCTCTCCGTCCTCCTCCCTCTCCTCCCCAGCTCTCTCCCTCACTCCCTCCCTATTTAAAATCCGCCTGTTGAACCGAGAAATCGACGTTTCCCCCTCCTTCCGCCTCTTCCTTACGACCGAGTCCCTCCTCCCTCCTCTCTCCCCCTCTCTCTTATCCAAAACCGCGGTCGTAACCACCGGAATCTCGCCCTCCTGGCTGCGTCAGCACCTGCTGAGCCGCGTGATTGGCCGAGAGCGCGCTGACGTGGCGCAGCAGCGGGACCGGGCGGCGGCTCTGCAGGAGCGTTGCCGACTGAGATTGCGACAGCTGGAGGGGAGATTGCTTGAGGTGCTGACGTCACCAGAAGAGGACGGGACGGAAGCGGGAGGTGTGGTAACCGGGAGCGTGGCTGTGACTCCTGCTCGTGCGGCTGGAAGTGGTGGTGGTAGTGTCAGTAGCACCCCTCCTCCTACTTTCAGCATGTTTAGCGGATTAAAACGACCGGCAGGCATGGCAGCAACACCAACACCAACAGCAGCACACACACACGCAGCAGCAGCAGCAGCAGCAGCAGCAGCAGCAGTGGCAGCACAAACGCCAGTGGGAGTCTCTCTGTCTTCCCGGGCACTTGAATCCCCGATCCCCACGCCAGCCCCTCTCCCTCCTGTAATGGACGACTCTACAGTCTCAAAAACTCTCGCTCAGATTAAAAAGACGCAGCAGCAGTCAAGGCGAAGGCCAGAGAGGTGCGGCTGGTAATGAGACAAGTTGACGCCGTCCGGACGCTGTACGCCCCGCTGGCGGACGTCGGCGCGGCGGCGTTTTTCGTCCTTTCTGGGGCGGCTGCCGCCCTGCAGCAGCCGCTGTACAGATTCTCGCTGGATTTCTTTCTGCGGGCGTTTGACGACGCGATTTTGGCTGCTAGTGGTGAATCAGGTGGGAAATCAGCAGCAGAAGTAACAGTAACAGCAACAGTAGCAGCAACAGCAGAAGCACAGTCAGAAGGTGCTGTAGCTGTGAAGCCGAGAGTGAGGCAGCTGGTGGCAGCAGTATTGAGTGAGCTTATAACGAGGACAGCAGAGGCAACAGAGTACCGGCACCACCTGCCTGTGGCCCTTGCCCTATCCCGCTGCGCCAGGCTGGCAGATGACGTGGACTGGGTTGGCTTGGCTACAACTGTCGCTGCAAAGTTTGCTACAGGGTCTGCTTGTGCGATAGGCACTGCTACAGCCCCTGCTACAGCTGAGAGTACAGGCAGAGCAGCAGGTGATATTTCAGCCGCAGTGAAAGAGGAGCTGCAGCGTACGACTGCTGGGGCAGCTTATAGCGAGTATGAGGTCAGGGGGTGTGCTGCAGTGGAGGCAGTGGTGGGGTTCGTGGAGTCAATGGCAGTCAACGCTGGTCAAACGGACATTGCTGGGCGGAGACTGGTGGAGGCTGTGATCAGTCATGGGGGTAGCTGTGCTGCTGGCACTGCTGCTGCCACTGCTGCTGCCAGGGCTGCTGGCGGTGCTGCTGGTGGTGCTGCTGGCGGCGCTGCTGGCGGTGGTTCTGATGCTGTTAGCAGACCAAGAGCAGCAGGGGGGAGGGTCGGAATGGCACTAGAGCATCCCATGGAGCATCCTGCTGCTGCGGCTCGGTTCATGCAGGCTCGGGCCGAGCCTGCCCGCCCGACCCTGGTGGCCTGCGTCGGCAGCTGCGACCCAACCGCCATGCTCACCGCTGCTGCTGCTACAGCTGCTACAGCCACTGCTGCCACTGCTACAGCCGCAGGTGCTGACAAAATTGCTGTTGCTGCCTCTGCTGCTACAGCCGCTGCAGGTCCTAGGGTTGTAGCGGTGGCAATGGGTTCAGACGATGCAGTGGCAGAAGCACAGAGGGCAGTGGAAGGAGGGGTGAGAGCTGTAGCAGCAGGCCCTAGGGTTGTAGCAGTGGCAATGGGTTCAGACGATGCAGTGGCAGAAGCACAGAGGGCAGTGGAAGGAGGGGTGAGAGCTGTAGCAGCAGGCCCTAGGGTTGTAGCAGCAGGCCCTAGGGTTGTAGCGGTGGCAATGGGTTCAGACGATGCAGTGGCAGAAGCACAGAGGGCGGTGGAGACAGGGGCGAGGGAGGGGCGGTGGGTGGTGCTGTGCAATGCCCACCTGGCCCTATCGGTGCCCAGGCACGCTGCGTGGCTTCAGCTGCTGCTCAACTCGTTACAGTCACGTGCAAGATCGACGGTGGACGGAGGCCGATCGACGGTGGACGGAGGCCGATCAACGGTGGACGGAGGCCGATCGACGGTGGAGGCGGCTCGATCCGTGCCAGTGCATCAGGACCAGCAGCAGCAGAAGCAAGTGCCAGTGCATCGGGATTTCCGGCTGGTGCTGACAGTGGAAGCGGCGGGGGCGGCTGTGCGGCTGATGCCTCCCAAGCTGGTGGAGGCGTGTGACGTGCTGGTGATGGAGGCACCGGCAGGGGTGAAGGGCAGCATGCAGGTGAGATATGCCCTCTTCGTCCCTTACTCCCTTCCTCACTTTCTGCTCTCCTCTTGCGGCTGATGCCCCCTAAGCTGGTGGAGGCGTGTGACGTGCTGGTGATGGAAGCACCTGCAGGGGTCAAGGGCAGCATGCAGGTGAGCCGCTTCTCCTGCTCCTTCTCCTTCCTCCCTTACTTCTCTCCTCTCCCTTTGAATGCCTCACACCACCCCCAAGCTGGTGGAGGCGTGCGACGTGCTGGTGATGGAGGCACCGGCTGGAGTGAAGGGCAGCATGCAGGTGAGCCTCTCTCGTGTTGCTGTCCCCTTTCTCCTTCCACTGGTTTGAGTTGCCTCACATCGCTCCCAAGCTGGTGGAGGCGTGCGACGTGCTGGTGATGGAGGCACCGGCTGGAGTGAAGGGCAGCATGCAGGTGAGCCTCTCTCGTGTTGCTGTCCCCTTTCTCCTTCCACTGGTTTGAGTTGCCTCACATCGCTCCCAAGCTGGTGGAGGCGTGCGACGTGCTGGTGATGGAGGCACCGGCTGGAGTGAAGGGCAGCATGCAGGTGAGCCTCTCTCGTGTTGCTGTCCCCTTTCTCCTTCCACTGGTTTGAGTTGCCTCACATCGCTCCCAAGCTGGTGGAGGCGTGCGACGTGCTGGTGATGGAGGCACCGGCTGGAGTGAAGGGCAGCATGCAGGTGAGCCTCTCTCGTGTTGCTGTCCCCTTTCTCCTCCCACTGGTTTGAGTTGCCTCACATCGCTCCCAAGCTGGTGGAGGCGTGTGACGTGCTGGTCATGGAAGCACCGGCAGGGGTGAAAGACAGCATGCAGGTGAGATAAGCTTCCTCTTCCTCCTCCTTGTTGTCGCTGAGCTGTGAGTCGACTCTCATGCCCACTCCTCTTCCTCCTCCTTGTTGTCGCTGAGCTGTGAGTCGACTCTCATGCCCACTCCTCTTCCTCCTCCTTGTTGTCGCTGAGCTGTGAGTCGACTCTCATGCCCACTCCTCTTCCTCCTCCTTGTTGTCGCTGAGCTGTGAGTCGACTCTCATGCCCACTCCTTACACCCTTCTCACGCCCTCTCCCCCCCACAGAGATCTCTGGATTCCATTCTCTCGCTCTCGGCCAGAGGCAGCAGCCAGTGGAGCCAGCAGCAGAGAAAGAGAAACGCAGCTGAAGAAGCAGAGAGGGGCAGCGAGCGGAGTGGGGTTGCTGTGGAGAAGAGGCGACAGGGGAAGCAGCAGCAGCCGGTGCTGCAAGTGCGAGGTGGTGACGAGGAGGAGGAGGAGGAGGAGGAGGAGGAGGAGGAGGAGGAGGAGGAGGAGGAGGAGGAGGAGGAGGAGGAGGAGGAGGAGGAGGAGGAGGAGGAGGAGGAGGAACAGAGGAGGAGGAGGCGGCAGATGCTACGGGTGCGGGTGGGCATGGCATGGGTGCATGCGGTGCTGCAGGAGCGAGTGCACTACGTGCCCAGGGGGTGGCTGTGCCCTTATACCTTCATGGACCATGTGAGTGTGCCTCTGTATGTGAGCGAGAATGGGTGTGCGTGTGCATGGCGTGGGTGTGGGTGGGCCAGAGCGGGTGCGGGTGGGCCAGAGCGGGTGCGGGTGGGCCAGAGCGGGTGTGGGTGGGCATGGCATGGGTGCATGCGGTGCTGCAGGAGCGAGTGCACTACGTGTCCCGGGGGTGGCTGTGCCCCTACACGTTCATGGACCATGTGAGTTGGGGCAGGCAGTGTGGCTTAGAGCGTGTCTTGGAGTGCGGGTAGGCATGGCGTGGGTGCATGCGGTGCTGCAGGAGCGAGTTCACTACGTCCCCTGGGGGTGGCTGTGCCCTTATACCTTCATGGACCATGTGAGTGCGACTGTAAGGCAATGGCATGGGTGCATGCGGTGCTGCTTAGGGGGAAATGCTGTGAGCGCATGCAGTGCTGCTTAGGGGGAAATGGCGTGGGTGCATGCGGTGCTGCTTAGGGGGAAATGTCGTGAGTGCATGCAGCGCTGCTTAGGGGGAAATGTCGTGAGCGCATGCAGTGCTGCTTAGGGGGAAATGCCGTGAGCGCATGCAGTGCTGCTTAGGGGGAAATGTCGTGAGTGCATGCAGCGCTGCTTAGGGGGAAATGTCGTGAGCGCATGCAGTGCTGCTTAGGGGGAAATGGCGTGGGTGCATGCGGTGCTACAGGAGCGAGTGCACTACGTGCCTGGGGGGTGGCTCTACCCCTACACCTTCATGGACCATGTGAGTGGATATGAGTGTAACTGCAAGGGCTGTTGGAGGGTGATGGGTGCATGCAGTGTTGCAGGAGCGAGTGCTCTGCTCTGGGGGTGGCTGTGCCCTTACACGTTCTTGGGCCATGTGCCCTTCTTCTCACCCCGTCTCACTCTGTCACTCCTTGTAACCCTTTCCCATCCCTAACAGGATCTCACCTGGGCGCTCTCTCTCCTCCAAGCCTGGCAAACAGACAGCCTCACCAGCCTAACGCCCCCCAACTGCCTGCCAGCAGTGCGCACCCTCCTCCTTATCACACCTTCCCACACCCTGTCGCCCTTCTCACCGTTTCCCACCTCTTCCCACCCATTTTTCCCCCTTTACAGGACCTCACCTGGGCTCTATCCCTGCTACAAGCCTGGCAAGCAGACAGCCCTGTTCATCTGACACCTATAAACTGCCTGCCAGCAGTGAGAACACTCCTCCTCGACATCGCTTACGGGCTCAAGATGGAGACCCCTGCAGACCATGCCACTCTCTCCCGCATCGTCTCGCACGTGTTTGGAGATCCCAAGGCGTTTTTCGCTCCACGATTCGCCCTCTCGCTCGCTCCAGCCACTCCTGCTGCTACTGGTGCTACTGGTGTTGCTGCTGGTGCTGGTGATGCGGTTACCAGCGTGTCGGCGTTACTGAATTTACCAGATGAGGACAGTGAGGAGGCGTATACCAGCTGGGTCCAATCATTGCCTGCCACGTGTCCACCTGAGTGGCTGGGGCTGAAGGCTGGGGAGGATAGTGTAAGGTATGCCAAGGAGAGTGCGCAGGTGCTCAAAGCCACACTTGGATTAATGGGAGAAAGCTCAGCTCAATAAGGAGGATGGGGTGTTAAGGTTACGCATGCAAAATGGGACTTTCTGATTTGATGGGGTGCAACATCCAACTACATTGTTGTCCCTAGTATAAGTATGTGCAGTGTAGAAGCCATTTGCCAGCTTTGGTGCTGAATTTGTTAGTGACTTTCCATGCTAAGCAATGCCATTCCTGTTAGGAACCTTAAGAGTAATTGCTTTCACCTGATGCACAGTTCTCCCACCACAGCCATATAGCCTTTGATATTTGCAAAAGGGAGAGGCGTGGGATGGGTATGCCCACAGGTTTCTCCATCAATGCCCCACAAGTTATGCTGCAAGTCATGGTATCTAATTTAGACTGGTTGTTGCTTTTGCTAAGCAGATTCTGAAGGTTATAGGAACCAACAAAATCCAGAGCTTCTTGGAGAAGTGGGGTATCGATCCCCATACCTCTCGCATGCTAAGCGAGCGCTCTACCATCTGAGCTACATCCCCATGAGGTGCGGGCACATTAAATTAGTTTGACATTAAAACATTTATGTGGCTGGCTCACCTACCAATTTATTGGTCCCACCAACATGCCGTTGCTCTCATCATGCGGTATTTCCAAGGGAAACATCGATCTTAGGGAGTTCTGTGATTTCAGCAGCATGTGTTCCTTGAATTCAACATATGCTGCGTACAGATAGGAGTTCCGTGGTTAGCGAGAAACGGCTGAGATCAATTTCAGGTCCGATTGCTGCTCCTCCCAAGGTTGTTCCGACCAGGTTTTCGTGAGCTTTAGTTTATCCTCGCCTCCGCATTCGCGAACGAGAATCGCAAACGAGACGGCGATTCGCTGAGGAGTAGGATATATTTACCTCTGGCGTGAGAGAATGCGGAGAATACGGAGATCCTAGCGAATGCCGTGAATGCTCTGTCCCCGAAACTCGCTTTTCCCGTCGTTTTTGCTAACCTCACCTTCTAACAGATAAACGTGAAGCCTTTTAGCGGCTCACCGACATGCGACTCGTGACGGTCCTATAGTCGGAGCGCAAGGGTTCGTAATTCCTGTCATCCATTCTGTTACTCCATTCGTCGTCGTCGCGAAAGGTCGGATGACGTCGCCGCAGCGTATAATGACGTCATCGTCCATGACCAGCGTTCTCCTAATCGTTCTTCACTTGTCCTCCGTCGCTCCTATTTGGGTAAGCCCTGTCTCCCTGTTTCGTTTCCCTGTCTCTCTCACCTCTTTCTCTTTTTCCTCTCCTCTCTCGCCTTGTGTCGCCTCCCAACTTAAAACGTCAAGGATCCGACTGTTTTACTGCTCCAACAAGCTAGTTAACTTCTATCTATGTTCAAACTCCGTCGTCTCTCTCCTTCCCTCTCAAACTCGAGTCCTTTCCTTCTTCATCGTTCGTATGGTGTGTATTTTTGTATCAGGCGCTGAGTCCCTCACCGGATGGCCTTCAATCGGGGACAACCGTCCCTTCGCATGTTCCTGAAAGTCTCACTCCATCAACTGATGGTGCTGATCCATTCGTTCTCATACCCAGGCCAGAAACCACTCTTTCCGCAACATCTGAGTATGCTTCAAGACGTCTCGCAACTCTTCCCACGGAGACCGAATCTGCAGCAGCTAATTCTGCTGAATTTCCTCCCTCCCTCGTGGCTGGACTTTCCGAACCTAGAGGTTCGGATGCTACAACCGGAAGTACAGCCTCCGGACCTAACGGTTTGGAAGGTACGGCAGCATCTGTACCAGTGGGGCCGAACCGTCGCCTTCTTGCGGGCTTACATGGTCCCAGAGCCGTTGTCCGAGGCAAAAAGCCAGGCTCGGCCAGGCCTGCCGAACCTACAGATCCGGCAGGCTCTGCTACAGCTCGTACAGCCTCTGCCGAGCATGCATCGGAGCAAGGAGAGAAAGGGGAAGAAGACAAGAAGAATATAGATGCAACAGCTGCTTCTGGTGTGAGTGCAGCAGAGGGAAGCGAGAAAGGGGAGGAAGAGGACAAGGGATTAGATGCAGCAGCTGCTTCGGGAGGTGTGACAGGAACAGAGGGAGGAAAGGAGGTGCAGGAGGAAGGGGATGAGAAGCAGGAGGAGGAAGGCGAGGAGGAGAAGGGGGGGAGTGTAGCTACTGCTGCTTCTGCTGCTGCTGCCACTGCCGGTGGTTCTGCTTCTACTGCTTCTGCTGTTGCTGGGTTGCAAGGTGCCAAGTCTGCTGCGGTGAATACTGCTGATAGGGAAGCTGCCACTGCCACTTCGGAAGGTACTGGTGCTGTTGATGCTGCTAGTGCTGCTGATGCTACCACTGCTTCTGGAAGGCCGGAAGGTGCCAAGGCTACTGCTGTGGGTGCTGCTGATAGGGAAGCTGACACTGCCACTTCGGAAAGTGTTGATGCTGCTAATGCTACTGCTGCTGCTACTGCCGCGGTTGCTGGGGTGGATGCTTCGGTTGCTCGTGGTGGTGCTGGTAGGGTGCGTCCACCTGCTACCACTGACGGTGCTGCTGCTGCTACCTCTGACGGTGCTGCTGCTGCTACTACTGGAGGTGCCGCTGCTGCTACTACTGGAGGTGCCACTGCTGCCACCACCAGGGATCCTGCTGCTGGTAGTACCACTGCACCTGCTACCACTAACGATACCACTGCTGCCACTGCACCTGCTGCTACCATTGATGGCACTGCTCCCAGCACTAGGGGTGCCGCTTCTGCCAAAGCAGCCACTGTTGCCACTGCTGCTGGTACCACTGACGATGCTGCAGCAGCAGCAGCTGGTGCTACTTCCGCTGTTGCTGAAGCCAATCGCAGCGAAGTTACTGGGGCGGGCAAGGAGGAGGAAAAGGGAGAGAATGATGCAGGGAGCGCAGAGGAGGAGGGTGCAAGGTCGGTCGGTGGGGCTGCAGAGAATGAGAAGGTGACTGGTGGGGAAGCAAAGAATGTGAAGACGGCTGGTGGGGAGGCAGAGAACGAAGAGGAAGAGGAGGCAGAGGAGGAGAAGGAGATGGAGAAGGAAGGGACGAGAGGGGTGGAGATGGATGGGGGAAAACAGACTGCGAAGGGAGGAAAGGACGGGACAAGAGCGGAGGGCGTGAGTGGTGAGGAGCTGAAGGGGGAGGGCGTGAGTGGGCAGCAGCAGAGGGGTGAGCGCGTGAGTGGGCAGCAGCAGAGGGGTGAGGGCGTGGAGCAGAAGGAAAGGGAGGAGGAGGGTGAGTTGAAGGGAGGGGAAATGAAGGGAGAAGAGGTGAAGGGAGAAGAAGCGGAGGAGGATGAGGAAGTGAAGGTTGGGCCAGCGGATTTGGGGATGGAAAAGGTGGATGAGGCACTTGCAGCAGCAGAAGAGGCAATCATGCCGAAAGCTAAAAGCACTGATGCTGCTGGTAGTGCTGCT